GTCACACCAGGGAGCTGTACATTTTCCCAGGCTCAGAGCTTTAATCAAACTAAATTCCAAAACGAGTTTCAGTTAATTTCTGGCCGAAGTTATCGCTTTGTAAATGCAACAAATGGCTATAAATAAACTAAACCCATGACCCCATTAAAAAATCAGAACAAAACTCGAGTAAATAAACCAAACAACTTTAGCTGGCCAACGAGAAAGTTGAAAATAAACTACGACCGAACTGCACTCAACTTGTAATGAAGTTTCAATATACAAATCAATAAGGACCAACCAGGCTGGCCAGCCTCCTCAAGTCCAGGAGTCTTCTCCTGCAGACTGCTCACCGCCCGGAAAACACGAGCAAAAACAAAACAACTTGAACGTTGAGAGGCGGGCAACAATCTGTGTGAGATGCAGCACAGATAAGGCCCACTGATGCTTCGGTCAGTTGCAAACTTTTTAGACTCCTTACATCCCGTCTACAGGGTGGAAATCAGAAGGATGAGAGGTCTATGTCTATGGTTGGCATCGGCAGGAAAAGTTAATGATGTCACTTCCACTTTTACCCAGAGGCCGAAGACATCAACCTAACCGCCTTCGATGCGAGTTGAGGCAGACCGAAGTGGAACGTGTGAAAAATACGAAACTATTAAACTATCGCTGGGCACAAGGGCAGTGCCACAGAAACCGTTTAGACCACAAGGATGCTGCCACACCATGATTGCAAGGTTCATCCGATTGGGTACACGAAACCAAATTAAATTCCCACAACAATTTATTTATTTATTACTAGAATAGAATGTGTAAGATTGGATATAAAAATGGGAACTAAACAAAGGAAAAGAACTCAAATCACTTCAATTTTAAGTCAACATTTCCTCCATAAATTTAAATAATAAGCTGTTTTGTTATAATCAATGTTTTAATCAATCTTATCTTTACACAAAGTAAGAAATGATAATCTAATACTTAATACCTTAGAACATCTTGCCTGCCATGAAAAACCCAGATCGCCTTTGGTGCATTTCATTTCTCTAACCACAGTTAAGCAAATATTGCTGGTAACTGGCCGACCCTTTTGATGTAATTATAATCCCGCTCGAACATTTGGCTAATTCAAGGAGTTTAAATACGAAAACAATTACATCACTCAAACCGAAATGGGGCATAAGACTGAGAAGAAACACCAATAATCGCGCAACGCACTTAGCCAAATTTCAAGCAATTAAATCTTTAATTCGCGCTTAAAAGCTGTTTTACCCCACTCTTTACCCCCTCTAGCCATTTTCCCTATTTTCCGCGGGGGGTAGCTAACTAATTATAAAACGGATGCGCCGCGTTTTCCACCCTGAAGCCCCTCTTCTCTTTGCTTTCCTTTTTTTGGCTAGCGCTTTGTTTAAGGCCGCAAGTCCCAACCAGAAAAGGGACAGATAAATGCGACGGTCTGCTCCTAAAATAACAGTATTTTGCATAATTGTTGACCCAGAAAGTCCGAAAAGAAAGCAGCAACAAAACATGGGGAACAGCGGAACGATGCTGCAAAGAATGTAATTTCTTTTTCTTATTTTCCCCACCACTTTCCCCGGCATTTTCCCTCGGCGTCGCTGTGGGAACCGCCAGTGATTTGTAATTAGGAAACGGCCGCCAACTGTCGCCTTGGTTTTGGCCTGGCTCGGACGATGCCACGCCCCATTTGCACCGCAACGCAGGCAGTGGCAGAAGCAGCAGCAGCGGTGGCAGCGGCAGCGGCTGGAGGCATTAGCGAACGTTAAATACCCAAGTGCCATCTGCTAAGGGGAAAGCGGCTACAAAAAAAAGGTGACCGGGAAAATTAAATGAATGAAAAGTGCTAGAAGAAAAGTGTAAAGCAATGACGGCGACGCCTGGTGCCACCTTGTGGCTTCGTGGAAAATAAGGGGGGTTGGCGGGAAGCGTAAATGGGGAAAACTGCGGCCAAGATTCCAGCCATTTGTGTGCGTAGTTGGCGAAAGTTTATTAAACATTTAAATTCACTCATTTCGCTTTGGGACTGCTCCTTTCTTTTTCGGCTGGGGAAATGACCAAAAATTGAAATTATTTCATGTCCGGTGTCACCATTTTGGGCTTCCGTTTCGGGTTCCAGTCAGGGATTCGGTCTCCTCGGCTGGCCCTCCTTTAGTCCTTTTGCTTTAAAAATAAATCCATTGATGCAGAACTTTTGAAAGTTCGTTTTCAACGGAAATTTATAATTTTTGGGCCAGCGGCCTTGGCCGGTCCTTGTTTACTCATGTCCTGCATGCTTCCGCTTTTCCACTTTTCCATTTCTCTGCCTTTTGGGCCACCGGAAAAGACCTTTTCTTCTGCATAATTTCGGGAAATATGTTTGCAGCAGTTGGTAATATTTCGGAGAAAGTTTGTGGCCATGATTTACGTTGGGGAATTCCATATAAATCGTCGAGGGGTGGGGATTTCTTTTGAGTATTTTAGCACAAGCCGGAGTTGATTTAATTAGTTTTCCAGGGCTTTGAACAGCTTATAAATCAACCCAAAAAAAAACATATGTTGGTTCTTCTATTGCACTTTAAGTATAATTAAAAACTAGGTATAGAGGTATGAAAAAATCGATACAGTTTAATAAGAAATGTAGTTTATTTATCATTTGCATTCCCATAATCAAAATTTGGTTAACCTTACGATCGTTTTATATAAGTTTGTATTAGCAATTGTCTCGCCGTTTCTAACATCTTTGGATGGAGGACCACCCTTTAAAATTAACATTCCCTTTGTTAAAACAATAAGCTTAAATCAATGTCTATGGTCTAACTTATCTGGAATGCATAAATTAAAGTTTCTTATTTCTCAACCTCTCTAACTAATCGATCGTAAGCCTAAGATCAGCTCAAGATGACTGAAAGCACCTTAACAAATTTTGGCAAATGACCAACAACGCTGCGGAGGTCGAAGGAAACTCTCGATGAGAATACATCCTTGTCGGTAATAAAATCGCTTTTAAACATAATCCTTTGCCAGCGCAAATCCCATTCAAACCGCTTGGCTTTGCTTTGATTCCGAAAGCCCCGAAAACTTTTGCGCTCTCAAATTGAAAGGAGTTTTTGTTGTGCCGAATGTGTGTATGTATGATCGTGTGTGTGTGGGTGCTTGTGGCCAGGTTCTTTGGCATTAGCCAACCACCTTTGCTCCTTGAGCCACCTTTCAATGGCTCACCTTGCGTGGAGAGCACCCACAATGGGCATGCACATACACATACACCATCTCTGCACCATCATCCAGTCGCATTCAGGTGCACACTTATTAGAGGAAAAGCAGGTGAAACCCATCCTTGGGGCGGTGACGTTGCACTCGGAAGTCAGTCTGAGTTTGTGGGCCAGAAAATGGCAATAATGAAATCAAAATGTGAATGCCCTTTGCATTTCCTACTTACAGTTTGACCCTGTTACGAGCTTGGCTAAAAAGCAAAAGCAAAAGCTTCAGCTGAAAACTAAATCTGAGCCTGGTCAGCCTCCAGGCACTTCCTCCACACCCTGCCACGCCCCTCGCCACCCGTTGAATAGGCACTCATTAGTTCCCCTTCCGAGAATTGTGCGGCTTCGCCTGCTTTGGCTGCTGCATAAAATTTGCATTTGAATGCCGCGTTCGAAAGTTGAGACAAATCCTTGGCGGGCATTCCCGTTAAGCTGGCGCTGCTTTTGTGGGGATTCCTTTTGGCCAGTGGGTCAAAAGTTGTTCCAGAGCAGCTTATTCAAATTATCAGATTTTGGATATATGTAACATTACTTTTAAATTTCCCTTGGTAAATTCCCTAGCCTGCTTTGTCTTTAGTGATAAGTTGCAAAAGTTGAAAAGAAAATCGAGATTCGATTGTATTTACAGCATTATGGATGACTTTTTCAAATTAATAGATCAGATTAGTTGATATAAGGTTCAAATCAACGAAATTTTTTAAACAATAATTCGTATTTTTAATCAGACATAAATAGGAATAAAATTTTGTAATAAAAATCCTAATAAATTCCTATAAAATATTTGTATATTATTGATCAGCTTTCAACGCCAAACATATATCTACATATCTACTTGCCGATTTGCAACTTGTTTGTTTTTTTTGTTGAGAGTTTTTTATTAGCTAAATATGAATCTTAATATAGTAAATAGTCATTCCCTTTAGGATTTAAATCATTTAGTTTTCATAAATTAAAGGGCGTCAAATATCGTCTGATTATTTAAAACCTTTGCTTTACCTTTTTTTACATAACCATCATCACCGCTTACGGGTTATTTCCATTTAATTAATACCCTTAGCATCAGAGTCTGGCCCAGATTTCTTTTATTTTCCGATGCTCCCCACTTTGATTTAGTTGCCAGACACAATGAGGCAGTCAACAATTGTCGGGCCTCGGCTGTCCTAATGGAAATTCGCAAATACAGACCCTCAATCCTTTCAATCTCGCTTGTCCTTGATGTTTAGCCTGGAATTAGACAACCAGTCGACCTTGACCCCTTGACCCGCTGACCATTGTTATTCTCTTTGGGCTCTCTTTGGCTGGATTAATTTGATACTTTTGCACCCGCATATATCATTCTTCAATAGGCCAGCGTTGATTACATAGATATGTAGTTTAGAATTAACTTTTTAACAATTTAAAGACTGTTTTCTAAACTATTTATTAAATTTTCCTAATTTTTTCTTGCAAATTTCAATTAAGATCTGTTTGTAGGGTTTTATATTTGTAAATATAAACAATTGAGGGAGATGGTCCCACTAGAACTTATTAAATTGGCGGCAAAAGTTTTACAAACATCGGAAGATCGCCGTTCACATGAGCACGTTTAGTGTTATCGATAGTTGCAGCTTATTGGGTTATTCATCCCTGGCTTCTGCGCGTTTTTAATTGAATTCAATTTGTTACTAAAAGATTTAAAAAATTTCAATGGCTAAGTTATATTCGTATAATTATGATTTATTACAAATTACTGGGGATTCAATAGAATTCATCGATATTAATCAACAAGGAATGAAACTTGACGAGAGACAACTTATTATCGCGGGGGATAACACCGCCGACGACGTCTTTATAATCGAAGACAATATGTGCTCAGCTAAAGATTCCATCGAGAGTAAGCCTGAACAAGATTTCGCCGTCTTGATTGCTGCCATTGATACAATACAAAGTGATATTTCTGTTGATCCTGTGGGTAAGGAGTCCGAACCAATAGAAGTAACAGAAATAAAGTCTTCTGCTGGACAAGAGAACGTGGTGTACACCGAGCATCGTCTGATCCGCTTCCGAAACCAGAACATTGTGTTCCAGGCATACTCACCGCCCTCAATCCCTGGGTTGAATGCCTCTCATCTGCACCAAAACGTGCAGGACTGTTTTGGTTTCGACATGGTCGAAGTGGCCTGCAACCTGCTGAATTTGGCGGCTGCTCACATGGAGCCACCTGTTCATGTGGACGAGTTCACGCTGCGATCCATTGCCGATGGTTTGTCGGTATCCATGAAACACAAGGCCGACCCGGAGACTCCCCTGATCGGACGGGAGAGCATCGGTCGACTAGTGGCCGCTATTATCGTGGACAGGGAATCAGGAATCCTTTTGGCCTACGCCGTTGCCCAACTGGTGCCTCAGGCAATCACTGACGGCAAAACTGGAACTATGATGGGCATGATGCTTTATCAGGTTACTCGTGGCTTCGGCATCGACGACAACTACCGTCGCATCATCACCGAAAACACTGGAGCCGTTCTCTTGTTAGTGAACCAAATTCCAAAAGATTAGTTTCCTGGAAACCTATTTAAGAATATGGATCTTCTTCTATTTAAAGTTGAGCTCACTACAAAGAATCTTATCCAATAAGAAACTACGATTTCAATACTATTTAATTAGTTTATATTAGATTAATTTTAGATTTTAAAGCAATGAGCCTTACGTTTTGTTTTAGGATTTTACAAACAAAAATTACAAATATATTTATTTAAGTTTTAATAATTTCTAATTTGGTGTTTTATCAAATGTAATATCTTTATTTTTACATAACCCTTTCCTCTTATTAGGATAAGAAAAAGTACAACAATGATGTTCCCAGTTTTATAATTACTATGTAAAAAGAGAATCTGAAAAGAAAATTCACACAAAAAGAGATGGCAAACTTTATACATTTTTATATTTTACATTTTACCACAACCTTTTGAAAAGGTAAACTTTATTTTTTATGTTTTTATTACAATTACCTGACAGTTTTGAAAATAAAAGTTGGTGAACACTTTAAGCACCTTTCCTAATTAACCTAATTTTTTGATACACTATTATTGATTTTCTCATTTTATACTTACCATAAAAACAAAACATAAAACCTAAGAACTATCCAGATGCCAAGTCAACGAAAAGATCTCTTTAAGTTATTCAATTTTATTATTTTATTGTATGTAATGCAATAAATTTGTCAGTTAAAGTTTCACATAGTTCTTAGTTTCGTTTACATATGTATGTGTGTAAGTATTTCCATTCGTTATTAGTCGGTACTTAACAATAAACTTTGCTATATCATGAGTACACGTGAGTTCGAGTGTCTGTCTTTAAAAAGTAATGTCCACACCTCGCTTCGAAATCGGGACGTTAGGGGCGTGTAATGCGATTTATTTACAATTATTATTAATTTTATTTCTTAGGGGGAGGGGTGTTGATAATTACACGTATGGCGTCTATACCGTTAATCGAGTTGATGAAAAACACTTAAGAGCTTAGAAATGTATTTTGATTTCGATTTGTATAGTACTTGCTATGGTTCATATATGTACGCCGCTTAATTCTAACAAAGTTTCATTGTTCAACATTCACTTTTATAGGCTGTCCAATGGGGCTGCTTGTTGTTGGTGGCTTTTTGGAGGGAAAATAAAAGTGGAAATGAAAGTTGAGTAGGTGTGAGGGTGTGTAATAGGGTGGCTCAAAGGCGGTTAGCCGCAGACCGCGAGCATTTGATGCATGCAAGCCGGAATGTGTTAATTGTCCACACCCGTGAAAAGAATCCCAGTTAAATTAACCCTCTCCAGCCCCACTTTCCCGGCTGTAATATTGACCGCAGAAATTTATTCCCGTGGCTTTTTTCTCGCCCATCTGCTGAGCGTGTTTGCGTTGGCTCACAGCTGCTTGCGGTTAACTTGGCCCTGGATCAATTTGTTAAACGCTCAAAGGCGAGCGCATCATCAAGTATACGCAGGGTGTGACAAGCGGCGCCTTGGGACAATCGCACACATAATTAATGCCGCTTTGAGGGTATTGTTTGTGCGAGAGTGGGGGCATGTTATGTGTGTGTGTGTGTGTGTGGCCTGCACCTAATTGCAATTAAGTTGACGCTGCAGCCTCGATTTCCACGTAGGAGCTGAGACAACTTTAATTAATTTCAGGCGATTTTTATGGGATTTGCAATGGTTGGGGGAGTGTGTGTTCGGGTGTGTGTGTGTGTAATTAAAAAGGACGTTAAGTGGATAAATAAATACGAGGCGGGCCTGCGGGTTCGCGTTGCAATCGATGTTTACATTTTGTCCGTTTGATTTCGTTTTATTTATTTCTTGGCCGCCTTTGTCTCCTGCCTGCCTGCTATTTATTTATTTATTTTATATATTTATTTGTATCGTTTAAATGCAATTCATTAGTGTTTGGAATACGTCTCTCTGGTTGGATTCTGCCATTTATATTATTTGTATATTCAATTAATTTACATTTTTGTTGAACGATTTCGCAATAGAGTTATATACAGTTCGCGATTCAGTCCGCCCAATTCAATAAATTTACTTTCGTTATCAATTAAATTGTTTTTGTTTGCATTTCTGTTTTCTGTTTTCTGTTTTGTTGGATGTTGGATGTCCGTTGTCCGTAGTCCGTTGTCCGTTGTCCATTTCGATCAATGCACATGTATTTGCTATAATTTTTTGTTCCTTACGCAATTATTTACTTTATGAATTTGGTTTTTTGTCGCATGTTTCGAGCTTGTTCGTGAGATAAGAGCACATAAAATAGAGTTCCATAAATTGGCTATGCAAATGTTTGCGATGTCGCACACACATGTCGGAAAGTTCATATTTGTGGGTGTTCTGCTTACCAAAGATAATGTTAAATAAACTCCTTAAAAATCATACAGAACTTCTCCGACTCTCTGAATTTCCTGGGACGGCCTATTCGAAGGTATAACATTTTAGGTGAGTTTAATGGCAAAGGAAGTTGCATCTCTCGACAAGAAACAAGGTCAACAGAGGACGACACAGTCCGGTATTTGCTAAAAATAATAAATATTCAAAACTAACTGTCAGAGAGAGTGAGAGAGAGAGGGGGAGAAAGTGTGCGAAGAGTGCGGGAGATATGGCTAATTGAAAAGTTCAGCATGTCGCCACATAGGAAGGAGACTGCCAATGTTGTTCCAGACTCAAATTGCCATGCAAATTCGAGTTGAGTTTTTCCAAAAACGCATTCGTTTGATGGCAGGAATTTCCCGGAGTCCATCGCCCCTTCCTGGCTCGCTCATGCGACCCGAATGGATTCAGGATATCGATGCAATTTCACATCGGACTGCATAAATATTTACGGTTATGCGTTTATGCAAACTTACTCGGTATTTTCCACAAAACAGAGGCCCCGCAAGCATAACCAAATACGAAAATAAACCTAAACAAAAACCAAACAACAAATTCAGTTAGGAGACTGCCTAAGACTAGGGGCTTACTAACTAGTTCGCTTAGAGCCGTTAGAACTTACTATTAGCTGGGGTTCGGGATTCTCGAAACTGGCTGCGGTAATCTTGGGGATTACGGACTCATCCTCTATATGTATTGGTTATTAGTTAGTGGATAAAATCAACTAGCTTACAACATGCACTCGATTATTACGTTAAATCTCTCCATTCTCCTCTTTTCTTTCGTCTCGCTCTTTTGCTATTTGGGTCTATCAAATTAATTTGGTTTTATACTTTTTACGTTGGCAGAGTGTTGGGCTTCCCATCTTCTCACTTTCTAGTAGTTGCTGTGCTTCCGGCCATTCAGTTTGGCTTGGCGGCAGTGACTTGTCATGTGCGGTGGCCCACTCCGATGATGATGACGCCGAGTAGGAGGGCCAGGATGCTGAGGGCGTAGGCCCGGGTGGTGGCTGCCGATGAGGTGACCGCCGAGGCCGAAGATTCGCCTACGAAAATTCAAGGAAAATGTCATATATTGCGTTAATTTTTCTGCTCTGTTTGGAAAGATTATATAATAATACAGTTTAGATTGTTTATACATTTTGTTCTTTCATCTCTCATTTAAAGTATATCTTTAAATAATTGATAGTTTGTAATTTATCTTTGCTTAAGATTTGAAAATTAACAAATTGCCAAAAGATTCCACAAATTTTCTAGAACGGCAGATTACTTTTTTTCACCCTTTTTAGAATACAATTTAAATCAAATTTAAATTAATTTAAGTAAATTTCCTTTCCATATTTTCTTTTCTACAGTTAAAGCCAAACTGTTCGACTTAAATTCCTAGAGTATTGGCATTCTAGCGTGGATATTCCCAGCTCTGCAACTCACCATTTATTATGTTCAGCGTTACGGTCGCACTGCGGCTATTCGACGGGCTACATGTGTAATTGCCAGTATCGCGCTTCTTGGCCGACTCGATGATTAATGAGCCAATCTGCAGGAGAAGAAAAAACCAGGCCCATACAGTTGCAGACTCAAGTGCCCGGAGGAAAAGTTGGAAAAAGAAAAAGATAAACACAGGCAGTTTTCATTCGGACATGGACACACGTATTCCAAATATTGGGCATGTGCCGGAACTGACTTCTTGTGCTCGGTGGCAGGGGCAACAAAGTTATGGCCAGGCAATTAGGCCAAATGCGACAAAACCGAAACTTTTGTGAAACAATATTATAATATTTCTTGCTGGAACAGCGGCAGCCAAGAATTCATTGGAAATTGAGAGTAATTAAATTAAAATCAACAAGGGAGTTTTTTGTTCACGGCTAAGTGGAACAGGCCCTGGGTTACAGAGGCCGAAAATTGAAGTCTCTTTGGCATTATTTAATGTTTGAAGTTTTTATAATAAATAAATATATATTACTCCGATCCAAAGTACAGAAAATAACTTTGTTAAAAATCAATAAATTAATAAATGACTGCTAATTTTTCTCAGTGAACTTACCGTGCTCTGGCCATCGCCGGAGGCCTCCGGTAGGTTGGGATCCATTTGCGTGCGGTGGCGGCGGGAGTCGGCCGCCAGTTGCTCTGTGCCGTGGTACCACATGATGAACGTGGGTGGCTCCAAGGCGCCGCGCACGATGCAGCGTAGCACCACGTTGCTGCCCGCCTTCACGTAGCGGTCCGGTTCTCCCAGGATCTCCGTGCGGGGCACTGAAGGAGGCGAAAGAGACGAGAAGAATCAGAGGAGTGTACATAAGTGGAAGTGGCAAATTCGGCGCTCCAAAATTGTGTCATTTCGCTAATCTATAGAATTAACAGCTGCGAGTCACGTCGCACACGTAAATCTGGCTGTGGCAGAGCGGCACTCCGCCTCCGAAGAAAATCCACTTTTCAATTTTTCACTTACTGATTCCCAGCTACCAGCATGAACTACCCACCTCCCGACCCCGCAGTCGGGCTGATTTTTTGGCCAACAGACACGCACATGCATAACAAACTAAGGGTTGTGTCAAACAAAAATGGAAGAAGAAAAGCAGCCAAAGAAAAATCGAGGAAAAAAGGCGGTGAATAAAAAGCACATACAAACGAACAAGTTGGAAATGTTGGCGCATACATTTTCACACGACCTTCCCCGCCCGGGCATCGCCAGGCCCCCGGAAAAGTGGGAAAACTGGTCGTCTTCATTTGCCAGCGCAACGCGTGGAGCGACGTGAGCTTTGAAATTTGACAAAATCACGTATACGCCGAGTTTTCACTGCTGTTACACAAAAATGTGCAAAATGAGTGCGCCGAGAATTTACACAAAATACCCGACTATGCCCCAGAGTATCTGTGTGGGCTTCTAGTTGTAGTGTAGTAGTGCCGTACTAGTACAACACGCGCCACGTTTTGGTTTGACACCAAACTGTGTCAGCTTGTCAAAATCGTCATGTTGTTGCATGTTAGTTTTCCAGCTGCTTGACTGGAGATTCCGCGTCACAGCAGCAGCAGCAAAAAATATGAAAAAAAAGGTGGGGAAAAAGTATATACAACACATATATAGAGCCGCTGAAGCAGCAGCAAGTGCAATGTTATTAGCAACCGTTCTACTTTATCACCCACGCAACTCGACTCTGGGGATATCGCAGCCCGGTGAGAGAATAATTTTCCAGTCGGCGAATTGTGGCACGCATATGGCTCAAATTAAGTCGAGGGGGAGTGGGATTGGTGTAATTAAAAGAGGGACTTTTTAATTCACTTAATTTACTTCATCTACGGTAAATGTAAATGTAAATCCATTCAAGGAATTTGTATTAACTAAGAACTTTAAATAGTTACTATTTGAATAAAGTAATTTGAGAAATATAATAATCTTATTTATCATATGTGTTATACATTTCAAAATTGTTATTAATTTCTATTTAATTTGCACCCTTGGACTGCAAGATAAATGCAAGGATATTTTGTACTTTGATAGAAACCCAGTGCCGACGTCAGATGTAATTTAATTCCAATTAGGAAATTATATTTAAATTGAAATTTCTGATAAACCTCTGTCCCTAGCTATCTTTACCAGAATGACGAAATGAATCCAAATCGCATTGAAAACTTCAATTGAGAAGTAAATGTGGTATTATAAGGAGTCGGTTTCAAATTAGATTCATTAACAACATCGATTCACGAACTATTATGCTGGGTCTTTAGAGATTATTCTGAAAAGAAAAGAAGCTGAATGGAAACCGCAAAAACAGAAACCCCGAAAACTTTGCGAACAAACTAAAGTTGACCACACTTTCGGCTAATTCACCGAGCACACAGAGAGCAGCATCCCGGGGGGAGTGGAATTGGTTGAGAGTGTCAAGCGAATTGCACCAACTTAAATTAATTGAGTTTATGGCAAAATGCTTTTAGGGAAATTAGTTGAGGGGAGGTGAGCGAACATCACAGGGAACATTGTCACTTTTGATGGTGAGATAAAATGCGTTCCAAAATAAAAGAAGACGAGAATATATATATATAATAAAACCCAAAGAAAACCCCAAAATTGGCTTTGGCCATACGAGATTAGCAGCAAATTAAATAAGCAGACCGAGTCATCCAAGAATGAATACGAAATCAGGAATCGGGGAATGGAAAGCTCAGGCCGAGGAGATGAGATGAGCTGGGCAGAAGGCGAAAGCGAATCTCATAAAACCAAATCTAGTTTGTCGTTCAATGATGCAGAAAAAAATATATTCATTCGTTCATTCGGCATTCATGTGTGAGCGTGGCCACCACCACCAAGACACCATGGGTGTGAATGCCTTTTTTTTTGGCGCGAAAAGCTCTCCCATGGATTCTGATAATAATAAATATAAATCTGGCAAGTTACCCGGGCAAAGTTTAAAAGATTATTACACAAGTTTGCAGCTAAGCAGACTTGATGTTTTTCGGGGCATTAACAACGATTTGGCTCCATTGTGCTGCCCATTTCGGTGACCTAGAAACTTGAGTAAATGAACCAAAACCAAAGAAACTGACATTTTAACCAGCAACAAAGCAAACAAGAATCTCCTGCCCCAGAATCCACTCCCCCTGCCGCTGTTAACATAACAAATTGACCGAAAACTACGAGCCTATTACCCCAACTTTGGCTGTGCATCCGAATATGGGCCAGAAATCAAGCAGCAAGCAGCCTGAAAAGGCCAAACCCTCAACATAAAATCCATTGCCAAAGACTCGGAATCGAATTCATTCGAAGGTGGTGGTGGTGGGTCAAGGCGGCTGATTTGGGCAGTCGGCGTTGGGCAATGGGCGATGGGCGATGGGCAGTGGGTGGTGCAAAAATCGACAACATGCAAAGGGAGTTTTAGCCGTTTGCACAGACAAAACGATGCAATAAATACAAATTACATGGCAAAGGCACAAAATCAGCCAAGCAGCGCGACACCAAAAGAAGAGAGGCGATATAGGGTGGGCAAAAACTGGCAGGAAAAAACTGACACGAATAACTGCAAAGGGGTGGTCGAGAGGCGGGGGCGAATAGGTGCTGCCGATAATGGTTATGGCCAACTGAATTGGGAGAAAAGGAGCAAAGGAACCGGAAGGACCATGCACACCCAAATTCAACTTCAAACAAACAAAGGCCGATTGGACCACGGCAGGGAAATGGGGAATGGGAAATGGAAATGGCCATGGATGAAGGCCAAACGACTGCAAATAATGGTTCTGCCGAAAGAGATGGCAAAACGGGGCCAGAAAGAGACGGATCGTCGAATCCCCGCCGGGCATGAATAGAAATCCTTTATGCTTAAACTTGTCGTTAGATTAACGCAAATGTGGCCGCGCATACGAAATTCAGATAGTCGAATATTTTTTGGCTCCAGATGGATACCTGTTGGCTGCCACGCCCTACTTTCATTTCTGATTTTCTCCAAAAAAAAAAACACAAACAGAATTCGATCTTCAAAGATAAAGGATACTGTGGAGTTTGTTTCAAGGTTGAAATCAAAAAAAACTTTTAAAAATAGCAAATCCTAAAAGTGCAAATCCAGTTTTTCTTGAAGATAATAGTAAATTTGATTATTAAGTTTTTCTAGTTAACAAAGATTTTCTTTCAGTGCACACCCACACATGAGGCTTTGGCATATATGCGCAAGTGTTTAGCATACAAATTAGCTGAGCCGGAAATGCGAAAATCACTTTTTGGCAACACCATTATCCAGTCGATTGCCCTTGCCCTCCTTTTCCCAGCTCACCCCACCAGCTGGGCATGATGTGTCCCTTTTTTGCCAGCAGCTCCTTGGGCTGGATCTCCATAAAACCAAAGTGTTAGTTGGATAAAAGAAAATTCAATTTGTTGGCTTCAAATGCAAATTGACTTTTTACTTTCACTGCCTGGCGCTCTCCTTTTCGTTGCTATCTGAGCCGGGCTAAATTGACCTTAAATTGTCAAAGAATTTGAAATGATGGTGTTATTCCCGGCAAGAATTGTCTGTCCGTCCCAAGGGCGGTGTTTTTTCCTTGGCCGTGGCCTGGGATTCGGTGTAAAACAAAACCGCAAAACGGACAGATGGGCTGGCGAAGTTGCAACTGCAATCGTTTCAAATGAATGCATCCGTGTCATAGATAAAATCCGAAATCCAATACCAGTGGCCAAAAAATATTCGCACTGATTTCTGTGTCATAGCCCCAAGCAATGCGGTTGTTATTGTGTCGGCCAGATAAATAATGTGAGCCATAGGGCCAGGCAAATTTCATATCAATTACAGGGCCCAGAACATCCTCCGATGCCCTCGACTGACATTTACATTGTTCATTTGGCCTGCTGCTGCTGCTGCTAGCAGTAGTGGTGCTGCTGTTTCTTCCGGTATGCAAACATGAAATTTAATTAACTTTTTACTCAGTGCTCAGTGTGTGTGTGTGTGGCTGAGTGGCTGTGCATCTGTGAAACCAAAACGAAACCAGAACCCAGCACGTAAAAGTTTTCTCGTTAAAAAACTTGACCGACCGACCAAAGAAATTCTCCGTCCGTTGGTGCGAGTGTGTGCTTTCTGATATTCTTTATTTTATGTTTTTTTTTTTTTTTAGCATTTCAATGGCAATGGTCAGCAGCCGCAATTTGAATGCAATTTAGTGAGTAATTTGAAATGCAGCAGCCGCATGAAACATGCAAAGATCTCGGCCCATGTGTGGCCCTGCCCTTTGTGAGTGGACTGCAAAGTTTTCGCATTTACTGTCGCTTGACCTATGCCCTTTGCCCACAAGCCTCCAGCCGCCCGCCCGCAAATTATACGCTCCAACTCACTTAGGGCCCAGTGTCTGAGTGCGAACTCATATTCATAAGTCCTAGCATTTCATGTTCATGTTCACGGTCTTGGCCCTGACTTACCCACAACTTGCAGCTGGACACGCGCGCTCACTTTCGGCTCCGTGGAGACCTGGCACTCGTAGGACCCTGCATCCCGGGCCTGCACGTACTTGATCTGCAGGGTCCAGTACTTGTCCGGCTGCTTGATGGCCAGGAATCTCTGGTCGGCTATGAAGACGGCCCTGGAAAAAGGGTAACGAAATTTACATTAGTTAGTAAGGTGCTGGGACATATAATAAACTTGTCTGTATTATAAAAACACAGATTGCTTATAGTATTTATAGTATTATAGTATTAGATTCTTGGAGACCAGGTCAATATTTTAATATGGAAAACCATTGATAAATGGTTTATATTCTTCGTTCTTACACAGCAAAACCACGCACGGTAGCTAAAGCGAAGAATCTCTAATAAGATAGCCTTCGCCACTAAGCCACGCGTTTATTACCTGCTTTAAAACTCCAGGTGGCCAGGTGGATACCACAAGCCATTGGGACTGACTTTAAGCGCACATAGTACATACCAAGGGTGCAGCATAAATTCTAAACAAACGAACAATGGCGGCAGACCCACTTAGTCGAGTCCTCGCTAAGTCCGCTACTAATGGCCACTCAAAAGACACTCAAAGTTATTTAGTTGCGGCATTTAAGCGGCAACTAGAGAAAGAGACGGCAGCAGCAAGTGGGAAAGAGTTGACAACAAAGTTGCGTGTTTGGGGCAGGCAGCATGCAAATGTTTTCGTTGGGGCCAGAAAGGGGAGAGGTATATGAAGTCAGTAGTAAAATAAGTTGCGTTTAATGTCATTGTTGCGATATTTTTGTTCCTTCTTGCTAGTTGGGCCTCCGCATCCCTCTCGCCCCTCTGGGCACCCCTAAATTGTCCCCTGCACTTTGCCTAAAGTGCAAAAATGTTTCCGTCATTTGGCTAAAATGCAGCGGAATGCCCACGCCCACTGCACACATGCGTTGACATTGCTTATTATGTGCCCCAAAGCCTGGACCCTGCTCACCCTACCCCACTCTACCCCCCTTAGTAACAAGTTTTGATGCTAAACCCAGATTAGACCCTTGCGTTTTGCACTCGTAAAACTCGACATTTTATGACTTTTGCCATTTCCTCGGTGCCCCGTTTTTCCTCCCCAGCTAAACTGTACACCCCTGCTCTCTCTCTGGATTTCTTATCAAGATTTTGTGGTTACTTTATAATTTTCATTTCATTTTAAAGTTTTCCCAGCGCGCTCTTCTCATCCTTTTCCCTTATTTGCCATATACATTTTTGTACAACTCCTTTTGGCCGGTTCCCATTCTGTGGCTTTCTGCCGGTCTCTGCGCTCGTTTCTCAAGTACTGGGGAGTGACCCGATCCGGCATAAGTTTCCATCTTTCCATCTACAATTTATTGTTGTGGAAGGAAACTCTGTGCCGCTGTGAGCCGGTCCCTTTTGCCCTTCTGTGATATTAGCCACTCGTTTACTCCGCTCGGTTGGGTGCATGCAAAAAATATTCCTCAAGTGGGCTAATCAAATCCTTTCGGACTTTCCTTTTTGCCGACATGAAAAATATGATCTGTATTTTATTACCAACATGAATATTTAAATTTAATTATTTATATGAGTAAAGGGTAGAAAAAACTCCAACAAATATTTACTCTGCGTTGTTCTCATTAACATAAGATCGATTTTTTATGAGGAATTCTTGTAGGTATTAGGTTTGATCCGCGATATAAATAAGAACAGCTGAATGCTGATTTCAAAAGCTAAATAGAAACCAATCATATAATAATCAATTGCACTTATTCATTTTGATAAGCTCTTATAGTTTTCCTAAGCAACCGACACTAAGACTGTTTCCTTATATTCCATATGCGATATTAATAGGGACTCCCTAAATTACTCTCAAGGGAATGAGCTCCCCCAAAGGAGCACAATTTCCGTAGGGACTGTTTGTGAGTGCGGAAGGTGTCCTTTCGCAGGATAGGTGGTGCGGAGTCTTTCACTTTGACCTCAGACGTACGAGTATCTGCCATGATTTTCTCCCCTCGCCGGAGAGTTTCATTTCCTTTGCTTCGTTTATCGCATCAGAGCTTTTGCTGCAGCTTGTTGCGGTTGCCACTCGGAGAATCCCATTAAGAGGAAGCTCATCTCCTGCTGCACATGCAACTCCTGCCATGTGGCACACCGTGTGTGTGTGTATGTGCTCACAGATAAGAGATAACAAAGTAGCTGAGAAACACCTGGCTGGGTAATTACCTCGACCGCCGCCCAAGGACCCCTCATTTCTGGGCAAGTAATCCTTTGTGCGGTTCGAGAATGGGAATTGGGCGGGCGGCTATAAATTGAGGAAAGCATGTGTCCAGCGGCAAACAAAGGACGCCATTGCACGTGACATTTATATGATAGTGTAAACACATCATTTGCGCCATTATACAACACACTAGCAGTGTCGCTGGCTAAAAGTTTTTGAAATCTATTCCCATTATGTTTGATATGCCGGGGAACTGCTGGCGAAGGACAAACAGTTGGGGTTTTCTTTCTGAGCTGGCAAAAAGAAAACTTTCTAGATAAATGTGACAGAAGACACTGGAGCAGGAAAGAACTCGACGCACACAATCAACTGGCAGCGGAAGCATCGAATGCAGGAAGACCAACTTGGCCCGAAATGAGGCGTGGCATCTAGTGGGGGCACTGAGGATCTGAGGACACTCCTCTGGCAGCGGGCACTGCAGGAAGCAATCAGTAAGGACACTATCTCAGCTAAATTTCAATGCTCGCCGCCCAGCAATGTTTGCCTTCAGCCAGTCATTCATTCGTGCCCAGCCATTCATCCTGGCTAACACAGATACTCACATACACACCGTGGGCCATGGGCCATGGGCCATCGGCATTCCCATCTCCCCATACAGACACCAACATATGGGAGCCACTCCGCCAGGAGGACAAACAAGCTGGCTGTCTTATCTAATGTGAAAGGTTCATTGGTTTTACTTTTCTATCAAAGTAATAAGCTGGAAATGTTTGCCTGCCTCCCCCCGCATCTTCCAATGTCCTAAAAGGCAAACGTGGCTGAACCAGAGGAAGGCCAAGATGCACTGAGAAATTTGAGCTTGGTCATTCCATGTAAACCGTGGTTAAGTTATCTCTTCTTCATTACTATTCAGATGAAACATTTTCTTGAATTTTAGGTCCCTGGGACCATTTTTGATTTAATTCTCCGCGGAATAGTTTCAACCGCAAGAACCAAGTTTAAAATGAACCAAATCTATTTTAAAATTGTAATCCAAAGAAAAATACTCTGGATTTTTTGAAAGTGTAAAATGACAGACAGAGGGAAACAACAAGCCGAGTTAAAGACAGTTTGAAGTAAAGTTTGCTGCATTTGAAGAGGAGGGGGATGGAAAAATGCAATGAAATTGCACACTTGCGTTTCCGCTTGGTGTGTCATACAGGAAAAATAAGAAAAACAGGAAAAACTGGAGAAAGAACATATCCACCATCCTCAACTTCGAATCATTGATGACACACCTGCGCTCCTCTGGCTTCGGGACACGCAGATTGGAATTGAAAAGGCTCTTCGGAAGCTTCAAAGTTTGTGCTCCTAATTCATTTTGTTGTAAATTGTTTTCGTCTCAATTGAGTTTACAAAAATATCTGTGGAAATGGAATGGACAATCTCCATGGAGTTGTATCAAAAGGATGGAGAAATAAGTAAAAGTCTTTCAAAGTGGGGGTTAATCATACTCCAGGGCTAAAAGTTATCCTCAAGGCTTAACCAACCGTTCGTCGTCATACATTTTGCAACTCGTAATATTTTAATTGGCAAATATCATTAATGCTGTCTGCCATTCATTACTTTCCTACATATGCCCAAAATGTCTGAGACAGAGCCATCAGTAAATCACTAACATAATTGTATACTTAAATCTGTGCGTGCGTACGATTGCAAGAATAGCAGTTGAAATCGAGACAGATATCTATATATATATATATCAGTAATTACGCAAATATTTATGCTCATCTGTGAATTATTACGTTTATAGCACTTGTGCTGTCAATTACGTAAAATAACAGCCCTGCGTCCCCAAGGCAGCCGAGAATGTCCAGCAGAAGGCAGAAAATTGATTTGTAATTGTCAGCAGATACAGCAGAGGCTCTCTTCGAGCCTCGATTTCAAATGCCTGAAAATGAGTTTGTTAATTACCTGTCAACGGTCAAGATGTGTCCATCTCGCAGGCGAATCCAGGATACCGATTTGTTGCCCAGCTGTTTGACCTGTGAGAAAGATAAACAAATCAATTTAGTCTTGACAGTGAGGTTAAAAATATATTTAACTGTATTTCGATAAATTAAATAAAAATAAGTAAATATAATGAAATAGATAGGTAACTGAAGAATGCCATTAACAGATTTCCTAAATGCTTTTCCCCATCAGACACTGGAGTACCTTCGAGAGGGACCTCAACTGAGAACTGGCCCTGCGCTCCATTAGGAATAAGGAGATCCTCTGGTGATTAGACGATCTACATGGGCATTGCTCAACAAGTGGAAGAGAAATTTCAAAGTGCCGCCACACACACACGCGCTTACATTAAATTACTGCATCGAAATGCAGATGGGGAAGTGGGGGCTAGTGGCTGCCCACAGAAACTACATTGAAATGTAATTAAATACCGAAATGAACATGAAACCTCGGCCAGAGAGACAGATGGACAAACGCAGGGAGCCAACGAGGCTCAGGAGGCAGAGCAGAGGCATCCGCATGTTTCAGATATTATCGAAATGTGTCGTAGTTAGTAAATCTAAAATGCATTTATATTCGCACAAACACGGCAGCAGCAGCATCTCTGTTTGCACTGCAACGATTTTGTCCATTCAACACTTTGGTCCTGGTTTGGTTTAGTCTAGGACTAGGGTTTTGGTGGTAGGTGGGCCATAGTAGGCCTCCGACTCCAGCAGGGGATCCATTAAATGTTTAGGTCCTGTCACCGCCCTGTAATACCGTTGTAATGGTCTCATTAGGAGCTCGTTTCGTGTGTTGCATTTAATTGGGCATTGAGCATCGGCCTGGTCGCAGGTGGATTACTAATTTAGTTTTGTGGAAAATTCCATTTCCAAGATTACTCTTGATTGCAACGACATTAAGAATCAGTCTACAGTCTTCCTCCACCTTATTCTCCTGCAAACCATTTCATTGAAGTGCGCATTCTTTGGCCAGAACAAAAGTTAAGCTTCGACTATTACAAATAAGCTGCTGCTTGGAATATTTCAAATAAGCCAATTGCCCCGAAAGGATGTACTACTAGTCCACCTGCTGTCATCGAATGCCCGGACAAGTGAGGCCAATTTGAAAAGAAGCGGACCGAAGAGCAATCTTTGTCTGACTCCTGTCCCAGTACCCCAGTATCCCCGTATCCTTCGATGTCCCTCCTCTGGCTAAGAGGACTCACTCAACTGTGGCACTTAATGCAGCATTTGAACAGAGAATGGAATGAAAGGCTCCCGGAGAATGGAGAACGGAAAATGGCCAAAGGAGCATCGAGCAAACTGGGCGTGTCATCCTGGACGGGCATAAAGTGTAAAGCCAACGACGAGTAATTGACGAAAATTGAGATGCGAGCCTTATACTTTTCATTCCTGGATCGGGAACTGATGGCTGGTCTCGAGGTTGGATGCTGGGATGCGGAAGGCTGTGGGTGGCTTGAGGAGCTGTCTAGGCTGTCGTTTGCTGAACTCTGCGGAGGAGCACTTAATTGACCATGACAACAAGAAATTAACATTGCTCGGCTGGAAAATTACAGAACACAGGCCTCTCCCTCCCCCTCTCATGTATTAAATATTTCAGCCGCGATTAATGCGAAATTTTCCAATGCCTTGTTCTTTGCCAGGAATTTAAGTTCTGGGAATAAAATTCACTTCAAAGCTTTGGATGGATTGGATGAATTAGGCTTAAAATTTAAGGCTTGAAAATTATGAATCTTTTGTTAGTAGATCTTCCTAGCCTGCAGCTATATTCAGGGGTTTATATTTAACAGCTATTGATAACAATAATGTTAGTTCTGCCGGCAAACTAGGCATCTTCTGTTTATATTTCCAGTTAATCATCAAACAAATGGCCGAGGGATGGTCTAACGCTTTAATCCCTGGCTTAGAGTCTAAATTAAATAAATATTAAATAATTAGCCGGGACTTTCCATTGGCAAAGGAGTCACGTAACGTGTCTGACCTCGACACCAAAAACTTGGCACCGATTGCGATGCCATAAAACTAATTTGTTGAAATTTAATTTTCAGTTTTCGTTTATGCTAAATAAAATATTTACAACTTGTAAGCAAACAATTTGCCCGGCTGCGTGCCTCGGGCATTTTCCATTTCCACATCCTGCTGGCCATGGCTTCCCCCCCAGATCTTCATGTTGGCCTTTAAACACCTGCGCAAACAATGGAAAAGCGTGTGAGAAATCGCCTGAGAGAGTCTTGGCCACGTTTGTTTGGCATTTGTTTTTGAGCCTGGCGTTATATACACAGTCTGCGGTCACACCTCGTCTCCATCCTCATCCTCCACCCCGTCTCCGTCAGGACGTTTCGGCATCCACAAATATTTGCGCAATAAAATTTAATGTGTTTTCTATTAGGACCTCGTTCAGGTCACGCTGATGGGGGCAGACCCAACAACAATAATAGTAATAATTACAAATAAAAACACGCACGCACCTCCACTAAACGCACGCAACTTTGTTTACTAAGGTACAGGCGAAATTCCCTAGCTCGAACATGAACAGGTAAGCCATGAAGTAATGAATTCTAAAGGATGTCTGACACTTTTTTTAATTCTGGTAAATTTGTGAGATTTTGTTAATAAATATTTAAATTCTAAAAGAATTTGCATTTATAAAAGTAAAAACCAAACTTAAAGTTTTTAATGATATAAAATGAATAATTTTTTCAACAACTCTATATATCGTTTTCTTAACCAAGTTTGAGTTAGGGATGTTCGACTGTACTCGCAATCAAATGGGAAATAAAAGCTGGAATTATGAATTTATTTTTTTGCTAGTTTAGCTTGTTTAGCTTGGGAAAATTGAGACTGTTTGGAAGGAGATAGAATGGGAGTTGGAGGAGCACTTACCCGACAGGGCAGATACGCGTGTGTCCCGATCTGAGTGGTCACATTGGAGGTGGCATAGCCATCCAGATAGGGCTCCACGAGTCCCGATGTCGCCAACAGGGCGGATGCCTCCGGCAGAAGCGAGGACACTTGAGCCAAGCTGGAAAATGCGGTCGCCGATGATGGGTCGCTGCTCTCATCGGAACTGATGGCGGTGGAGGCTGCCGATGACGACGATGTCCCTGCCTCTCCTCCGGATCCAGATCCAGATCCATTCCCGCCTGCCGCCTCCGCCGAGGTCTGTGTGTGCGATGCTGAAATTGATTTGGGGGCAGCCCAAGAGAAACGGGAGAAAAAGTAAGAGAAAAGTGGATTTCTTGTTAATCGAAATGACAATTTTGGGCTTCGATTTCACCAGAGCACATGTCACGTACAGGGCGCTACTGATGCTGGTGTTTGTGTTCGGTTGGGTGGGGTTTTTGGGTGGTCTGTGTTAGCTGATTGGACATTAAAGCTGCAGGCAAACATCCAGCTTTAATTTGCATACATGTGTGTCAACATGGAAGCAGGGCCATAACATTTAAGTCGACGGTATAAAACATTTTTAGACTTTAAGTGTTTTAGGGAGTGTTACTGTACAGAAAGGTTTTTATTCTGTATTAGAAAATATTTGGCAATGTAAGCACATTAAGTACAGTCATAATTACTTGCTGATACATATTAACGTATTTGAAAAATCAAAAGCTATGAAAATAAATAAAATTCCCCAAAAAGTGCTTAAAGGAAAACATTCAACATTAATTTAAATGAAAATACCAAACATGTACCATGAAATTTTTATAATACTTTAGAAATTAGAGGTATTAGCTACGCTCCTTGTTTTACCCAGTTAATGGGGTTGAGTACTGCCATTTATGAATACTTCATAAGCCATTCCGCTGGCATACTTGTATATCTAAGATTTCCCCTCAATTTCACTCACTAAATTATTTCTGGCAACCGCTTTCACATGCCCCACAAAAGCGGCAGCAGCAGCAGCAGCAGCAGCGACAAGTTAACAACATTAAACGGGAACGTGGCAAATGAGTGCATGGCGTTTAAGCCAGATCCACACAAAACCGCCAAGTCAGGAGCAGGCAAAGAAGGAGGAGGTCTAACCGCACTGGCTGCCCAAATGGGTGGCGACCACCTCTGCAACTGATGGGCCATCCTGCGGCTTCCCTTCACATCCGAACTTCAGATACACACACACACCCTTGTCTGTTTGCCAAATGCCAGTTTTTCGGTTTCAAATGAATCAATGGCGTTTAAGTGGCTGCCGGGCGAAAGCGTCGCCATCATGATTTTAGCACCGCTGCAAAGTTTTTTAATGAATGCCGTTCATTAAAATTGATTGTTGTTTGGTGGGGCCATCAGACGACAATGCTGCTCCACGCCCTTGCCCCCCTTTGGGTGCAAATATTGTCCAACGTCCAAGGGACGCGGCAATGTTGATGAGTTGGCAGAATGCGGAAGGTCCGCTAAAACGCATGCTATTTGCTGAATTGCCAATTAACTGGCAATTTCGGCCAAAAGCAGACCCTTGCCTTCTCCACCCCGCCAAATCAATTGATTTTATCCGTCTGGGCCTTTATTTCTGCCCCACGACTGAACATCGTTTTCGGTATAATATTAATTTTTGGTGGGAGTTGTTTGGCAGCAAGAAAGTGGCTTTCGAGTTTTGACTTTGACATAATTGTGCCTGTCGCTGACAGTTTGATATTACTCTCGGACTGTAGAATGGAATCTCGAATTTCCCGCAAATCGATGGTTAAATATGATAGATGTGCGGCTGGGAGAAACTCTGAAAGGCAGTCGCATGGATACGTCACTTAAACTGAGGGTAAGTTTAAAATCAAATTCTTAAAAGAGAAGGCTGGAAATCACTGTTTTTTGAATTGTATATGGGAATCGAGCTTAGATTGGTTATGAGTATTTGGAATCTTATCTTATTTATAGAGAAAGTAGTCGAATCTTATAAGGTTTCTACTAGAAATCCCGATGGTGAATAAATTTGAAAAGTTTAGTACATGAAAAAGTGGAAAAATATTAAAAACTTTATTTTTGTATTAAATAATCCTTTCACTAGAAAAGTTAAAGTTAAAGTTTGTTGGTCATTTCCATCAAAGTTTCAAAACAGGAAAAAAGACTCCAATAGTTGACTATCGCTTAATGGAATGATAACCAATATATCAGGCCTGCAAAATGGAGTGACAAGGATACGTAAATCGTGCAAAAAGGTACCACCAGATCCGACATAACCAGGGCTGAATTTGTGCTCCAATTAAAACGACGAATGTAGCGTAAAATGATTTCGATTTTGACAACTTGCACGTCAATTTAATTGGTGCGAGCTCTTGATGGCCAAAAAGGTGCCACTGACAGTGACAGTGGCAGTGAGTTCCTGGCGTATGCATAGCTGAAATCAGCAATCATTTCATCTATGCCTATTTTTTTCCCTTCTGGATGGCATATCTGTCCTCCCCTGAGTTCTCTTTAACCCCCGATCCTCGGGACTGACAGGAGGGGCCAGAACCACGGCAACAGCAGGAAAAAAGGAAAATAGCCAGGGAGTTGGGTGGGAAATGGTGTGGAGCAGGGGAAGGGGCGATAGAGGGCGGTGGCGTAATTGACAAAAGGTTTCATGCATTCAATGCCACTACCAGGCTCTCGTTGTCGTCCTCTGACAAATACAGCGCCCAACTCGGCTCGACACTCCCAGCCAAGTTGTAGGACCCTGCCAGAAGGACATGCCCACCGGCAACCCACACCCAACACTCCCTCGCACTCACACACACAATCAGCGCAATCGACACGCAAAAATTGGATAGAAACGCGCTGAAAAGATCAAAGCCGTTCAATTGTCAGTGACGACAGCCGGAGAGGTTCCTCGGATGTGGATGTGAATGGGGCAGGGGATGGTGATGTGGGAGGAGCCTTTTTCGATGGGTGGTGATTTGTCAAAGCAGCACCCTCAAGGCTTCCGCCGCCCAGTTGCCGCCCAAATGTTTAGCTCAACTTTCACCAAATAAAACAGATGCCAGAAATTTGCTTAGTTTGCATTTCCACACGAAGCTGTTGATTAACGTGTGTGGCTGGAGGAGAGGGCGACTTCCAATCAGCAAAGCTGAGAACAAAAACGAAAACAAGGACAAACGCGAATGAAGTCGTTGGCCAGATTTATTAGTTTTTGTTTAAAGAATCGAAAAAACTGAAGTTATTATGTCGTATAAATTTAAACAACAAAAATGATAAATAAAATATATATATGCAGGCAGTCCTTCATTCGAATTTGTTGGACAATTTAGGTCAGATTTATGAATTAAATCTTATTTTTAATGTGCAGTGAAAAAATGTGACATGATATGGAAATTTGTTACTTTAACTCGTTTTGTTTTCTGGATTTTTGCATATTTAACATTCATATTTATATTCATTATGAAATGTGTTTTTTATACATGTCACTCTTAATGGATGCTTGGCAGTTTGTTTCGTGTTTTAAACTGTCCACAATGGGTATCTCAGTATGAAAGCGCAAGTACTCTTAAAGGCAATTTGTGTGGAAAGAATTAACAGAGATCAGTTTCATCCTAAATTCAGTTCAATAACAAATATTATTTTCAAGATTTCGTGATTAGGTCATTCTATTTCCTTCTTAATACTCCTTTTATCTACTTAAAACAATCAAAAGTTTCAAAACCTCTTTTAAAACATATATAAAATTGTGTTTTATTTAGAAACGGTTTTAAATTTTGCCTTACTACTCAAAAAAATGTCACTGAAACTCATTTTTTAGGGAAATATTCACACGAACATACACGAAACAAAATCCAACGTCGGGCAAGAGATCTCTGACGGGTTCAAGGTAAGTGTCGTGAACTTGGCCATTTTCCCACTGAACCACTTAACCCTCTTAACCCATTAACAGCACGAATCGAAGATGTGCAGCTCCTGCTGTGGATGCTGCTGCGCACCTTGTTGCAGCCCCTGTTGCAGCCCATGTTGCAGTCCTTGCAGCAATGACTGCGGCAGCTCCTGTTGCAGTCCTTGCTGCAGTCCCTGCTGCAGTCCTTGCTGCCCCCCCTGTTGCCAGCCGTGCTGCCAGCCGTGCTGCCAACCGTGTTGCCAACCGTGCTGCACGCCGTGCTGCAAGTGTTGCTGTTGCCAACCTTGCTGCACGCCGTGCTGCCCGCCCTGCTGCCCTCCCTGCTGCCCGCCCTGCTGCCCTCCGTGTTGCCAGCCCTGCTGCCCTCCTTGCTGTCCACCTTGCTGCCCTCCCTGTTGCAACTCATGCTGCTCCCCGTGCGGAGGGTCAAAGTGCAAGTGATCCACGGTAGCTAAATTGGAATCGGAGGCAATCGCAAATGTCACCACAAGTTCGTGGGGCTCGTTGGAGAACCGCCGAAACCCACCTGCCATCACCAGCTAAGGCAACCAAATACACGAAAAGTAAACAGCAGACCAAAGTTTTTAGACCCTCAAGGAATAAGGATATGAGCACGTGAGGGGACACCAAACATCTGCTCCCGGGGCCATGTTAATGAAGACACAGATTAGGCACGGAGGCGGCCCAGGTAAAAGTTGGTCAGCCCAAACTTATGCCAGTTTGTGCTGTGTAAACTTTTTGGCCTCTTCCGAAAATTAATTAAAATCAGTTTCAACTTGTGTGACACGAGCACTCCTCACACAAAAGAAATTACATTACAAGCCAAGATGAGTCAACTACATGGCAACGGAGTCGCTTCGAAAACTTCCAGGGGCAAATGTAATTACTCAGTGGGATTTCTTACGATTTGGGTATCCTTGAAGTTCCAATGAAATACAAGAAAATATGTTTCAGAAAACCTACATGGTTTTGGGATTACTCTTAATGCGGATCCAGTTACCTATTAGACTTTCATCTTTAGATCAAAAAGATAAACAGCTTTCCCTTCTAGAAACGCATCAATTAAAAAAAATATGAATATTTAATATGTTAGCCTCCACATTTTCAGAGCAACAAGTATTCGAGCTGGCAAATACTTTCAAAAACGATTCCTTGCCGGAAGTTATTTACACACAGATAGCGGCAGCTGGCACAACTTTGCATACTTTAATTAAACATTTTCCAGCACATTTGGGCTGGCAAAGTGGATTCTCGTTAAATGTCTCAGGACGTAGCCTGCAGTCCTGGGCGAGGAGTAAAAATAACTTGTGACAGTTGTTTAATCATTTCACTCGAAACGTTTTCAAGCCCTCTGGCCATAGCTTCCCCATCTCAGTAGTTGGTTTTCCTGGCCGATGTGAACTTAATTAGGGTTAATTAATACTAGAAAAACATGCAGAGACATATTGACAAAGGGCAGATTGGTTGGTGCTCAAGAAGTAGCCTGGCATTCGAGTATGTGGGATGAGTTGGGGTAGGTCCTTGGCTCAGAAAGGAGCTGGATCCGTGCGACAGGAAATGAGTTTTCAAAGGCCGGAAGGCAGCAATTATGGCAGTCGCTTTGTGTGGACTGTTAATTGGTCTGGGAATCGACGAGGCCCGGCGACTTTACGATATTTCATAAATTGCAATTTTACGATGCCCCCAAATTGAAACCAAATTGCAGGCTCAACCTTGAGATTTGCATATCCTGGTCGTCCTTTCCGATCTTATCCCAGAGCCATGTACCCAGCCCCGCATGTACTTCGCCTCACCCTTCGACTGTTTGTGTACTTTGTGAGTGTCGACGTCATGTAACGTGGCAAATCCAATTTGGCCACGCCCATGAGGCGGAAGGAGGAGTAAACTTACCCTCAGCCCTTGACTGCTCACTCAATCCCAATAAAGCAAAAGAAAATTTCTCTCAGAAGGAGAGGGAAAAAAGAACTGCCTTAGGCAAATTTGTTATTGGCCTGGTTCATGGAGCATTCTTTGAGGCGCAGCCAAAGAAATTGGATGAGCATGAGGGCGGGGACGAGGCCAGGTGCCAGTAGAGATTCATTCTGTATGCAGGTAAATATTTGCCCATAGATGACTCCGGGCTTAGTGAGGTGGCGTCCTTGCCCACAGCTTATGCGGATTTAATAAGGCTTCGAGGCCTTGAACTGCATTAGACGCTGCACAGATTTAATTAAATTCGATTTCAGATTGCAAACTGCAATCCGGCCAAAAACTGTATCAAAATGCGAAATCAAAGCCAATTTTATGATTGCACACTTAATGAAAGTCGGGAAATCTTGCTCGTATATATTTTATTTTTCCACCTCCCGGTGAACTATCAGTAAATATTTGATATGCGAGCTGGTGCCATTTTTAATTATGATTCAAATAAACATGTCGACCGATATTTGGTCTGCCCGCTGTAATAATATTTAGCCAGTTGTCCTGATTTTGACTGCGACGCACTTGTTTTAATGCATAAATAAATATTTGTGTTAAAATGAAAAACCGCAGGCCCAGCACACGAGCATCATTTGATGCCTGCATCCTGTTCTCTATATATTATATATGCTCTGTACTATATAAACTATTTGTGCTATTTGTACGTCCTGGAAAAAACTGACAGGCATTAGATGTCGCTTAATAAACCCTAATAGTCTGTGGTATCGTGTCGGAGTGTCTATCAAAAACACACTTTTTCGACCGCCCGCTCGCTTTCCGTTGTTCTCTTTTCCTATTTTCCTATATAACCATTTTTCCATCTATCAATTATGCACCGAGGTCTGCGCAGGGGAAGGGCAGGGAGACTCACAAATTCGCTTTTATATTATTATTTGCTTTGAAACGGAAAACTGTCAGAAATGACCGCAAATGTAAGCGGCGCTGGCTGGTGGAAAATACTTTTTGCGGCCGCTTCAGTTGCATTTATCGGTTTGACATTTCCAGCCTGCTAACTCGCCGGCAATAAAATGATATTTTATAAAATAGAATAGTTTGGTTGTTTTTCATCTTTCTAAATCAAATTTAGCTATGGTCTCGGATCCAAACTAATATTTTCTCGCTAAAGGAATACAATTTAATTGTTTCGATTATGCTTTTGACTTTTCAACCGTTCGCTCATTGATTTGTGCTCTTAGCACATCATTTTGAAATGGCTAATAAGTTGTGTGGCCTTTGAAAAATAATCCACGGTTTTAGATAATCTACTGACAGGGCACTTGAAAAAATATTAGTTAGTTTTCCCTGCTGCCTTAACGCCTAGATGAACATTTCTTATTTAGCTTGAAAAAACAATTTGCTTGTAAAGGTTTTAATTTGTCACGCAGTTAATTAATATTCTTTAATAATATTAAATTAGATTTAATAGTTAATGTGATTTAAATTGTAAACTTATCAGATTAGTAAATGGTAACTTTCATTGGACTTCCCCAAACCTTTGATATTTCATAATAAACATAAACACTGCCACTGTATATATAGTTTTCGATTTAGCTCCCAATTAGTCATATTAAAAACCTACACATGTACAAAGCTAACAGCGCTAATTCGCGGGAAAACAGCATTTTCAATTTGTTAAACAAAATCCCGCATAAAATATGGCAACCGAGTGTTCCCGTGACTTCGCTCGGATGGAGTCATTACAGGAGCGCATACCATCTGGCAATCCGGGATGGATTCAGGGGGAGTGGCAGTGGTAGTGGCAGTATGTGGGTCATGAAACAGCTTGATATCTTTACTGCGCTCTCTACCTGTGGCTATGGTTCATCCATCATTAGTTGGACACAAAAAAGAAGGATTTTACGACGTGGTAATGGCAGCATAAAGGACTCCACGGGAGTGAGTGTGTGTGTGCGTGGGAGTATTTTTTATGTTTTATGCCTTTTGAGCAAACAAGTTGGCGTATTTTTGAGCTAAGCTCGCAGACATAAACTGTCGGCTGCCCCTTCGCTTTCCCACAAACTAAGCCACAACTTCCGCAACGTGTCATTCGAGCCACCCACATCATTACGACCTCTACACACACACACACACACACAAACACACTCACACCCTCTGGCATACTCACTAACACACGTCCACGAGAGGACTACTGGCTGTACGTGCTAAGTTGTTATGGCGCTGCTCTACGTAACTCTCTGCTCTGTCGCATAACTTAGTTTTCCACGCTTAATACAGTTTTACGGGCGTACACTTTTCCCCACTTTTCTCGCCTGGCCCATGGAAATACTTTAAAACGCATAAAAATTCCGACACGTCGTAACCTCAGTGCTTTTAACAGCTTCTCCCTTGCTCATCGCGAACCACAGCCAGTGGCAGCGGCAGATCCTGAACCAGATGAGGAACGCAGCCCCAGAACCCCCCATAAGCATACATACATATATAAAACCAAACCCAGAGTCAGCAATCAACTGCACTTCCCAGGGACTCTCGCTTTGTTGCAAGTCATGCACATCAAGTGAAGTTCCTGCCGCTTGTTGTTCTTGCTGTACGCGGTACATCAGTAAAACAAGGGTATACTGGAATCTAGTCTATATAGCATATCTATATCTTACTAAACTGTCTTTTAAACATCGATTGCAATATTTGTGAGGCACATTCACTTCATTCTGCTAATAAATGATTCCTCAATTTAAGTAGAATATCCCTATTTTATATCATAAGTGTATTTAATTCCATGAAAAGAATGGTCCATTTCCAGAAATAACTATCGAATTGAGTAGATTCAAATCTCCTTTGCCTGTGCATTTCAGTGTCACCAAAAAGTGTTTAGTAAACACAACGAAATTAGAGATAATTCTCCCAACACTTTGATGGAAATATTTTCATTAAAAGTGCACTCTCTCTTCTCATATCTGCATGATAAAAACTGACTTCTTTTAAAACCTACCTATTTGCGATGTGAAACTGAAAATACCACACCAAAACCACCTTACAATACCTTTATAACTACTAAAAGTAACATATTTTATTGTGGTCTAGTCATTTAGTACCAAGTATTAACCAGTCGGCAACCCAGATTTCAGATCCCCAACTTGTTGTTTCTAGCGTGAAGTTGTTGTCTAGCGGACGCGGTTGCTCCGTCTGTTCCGCTGCAGTTAACCTGCAAAGTAGCGCAATTTGTTGATAGCAGGTTAAATTTCATTTGCCCGCACACTTTTTTCCATATACTCGTATTTCGTTGCATGTTTTGCTCCTTTTTTGTAAGCCCTAATGATGTTGCCAGTGCAAAAAGGCCGTGGAGGGATGAGGGGGAAAATAAGATGCATGTGAAAAAATGTGGCGCATCCTAAACACGTTTTGCATGAGGAATAAACGTAATTGTTTTTTCTGTGTCGCCGTCATCCGTTTGAAAAAGGTGCGAGCGAAAATGATGCTGAATTAAATTTTAAATTGAATTGCTGCCGAGGGAGTCATAAATATTACAATTTTTTACACGCCGAGAGACATTTTGCAACATGGCCTATGCTTATGATATAAAAATATGTGATATTTTTTGATTTTATTTTATTTAATCGTGTTATTAAAAATAAGTTTTAAACTAAAAATTAATTTAAGTAAAAGCAATTCAAATGATATTTAATGAAGTCATTCAAGTGAACTGCTAAATATTTCAGGTATTTGCTATTAAAATTCAAATTAAAACACTCCCAAGAGGCAGGCAAATATTTTGCGTCCAAGAATTTTAATGGCCAGCAAAATTCATTAGCTTCATGGCAGCTAAACTAACCAGGCAATATAAACTTTTGCGCAATTATATCAATTTGAATACCCTGCCGCCCGAACTCTCTCTTTCTGTGGCCTTAACTGGCGTTGACATTAATATCACTTTGGCCCAATCTGTCCAATTTACCAATAAAACTCTTGAATCTCGGCTCGAAGTGCTTTAAACTGCAATGGGCCAGGTAAAAGTGAGTGAGTATTTGAGTGTGTGTGTTGTTCCTCTGCTGTGATGTGTGTTTGTGTTTGTGCGGTTGTGCTTGTGCCTTTTAACTTTTGCATAAAAACAACGAACGCAGCCGGCAGCAGTTAGTGGATGGATGGATGCAGGATGCAGGATGCAGGCCAGAGACCAGATCCCAGCCAAGGATGCAACTTTCAGCTGCTAAACGAAAATATAAAACACTTAACTCGACTGCAGGGGCGACAGTGCCTCTGCCTCTGGCTCAACTGCACCATGGTGATGGCGACTGGCGACTGGCAACAATTTGATGGCACTATGCAGTGGGGCAGAGGAAGCTTTGGACCCCGTTGGGCTGGGCCAACAAACCCAGACACGGCCATCCCCTGGCTGTAAATTTAGGTCACTTTTTGGCAGCCAACAACAGTGAACCGGAAGTGCAGAAAATTTGGCCTAAAAATAACATTTTTGTGTGTGCAGTTCACTGGCGTAAAGTTTTACGGACTCGATTACGATTACGATTATGGGGGCACTTTAATGAAAAAATTAACCCAATGAGTTTCTTGTCCGTTGCCAAGTATACTCGTAGAGTTGCAAAGGAGAGAATACTAAGTGAAATTTTCAGGAGGTGAAAGGAAAACACCTCGATTTTGAAAGCCATTTGTAAGACACCTAACTTCTGGATTAAATTAGAAATATCTTTGGCTGTTATTGGTTGGAAACAATATAAAAGGTTTGAAATGAAGCCTGTGAGCTCTTAAATAGTATTTGTTTAATAGTTTGGATAGATAACTGAGCTTAGATTCTTTAAAAGGCAAAGGGGAGTAAACTCTTTCTTTTAAGATACTTAAGACAAAATATTTGAAATTTTATTATAAAATGTTTTACATTTGTGGTATGTATATCACATTTACATCAAGACCTTTCTTTTTATTGAGTAGCTACCACAGTTGCCCCACTGTGCCTGCGTCATGGGTTCGGTTTAGTGGGGCATTGAAAGCGCGGCTTACAATGACCGACCACCAACCGGCAGGAAGGGACGAAGTGAGAGGGATTCACGTGGCTTTAATAAATAACAGCTGAAGTTTAAATTGCCGTTAGCATAAATTATGAGCAGTTAGAGACGTTGCCTGCATTCAGTGAGCGACGCCTTTTTGGCTGCGAAACTTCTTTCACCATCTCACTTCCCTTTCCCATCTCCCTCGCTCCCACAGCTTTTTTGGCCGACATCCTGCTGAATGGAGGAACTGGTGCCCCTCTTTATGCATTCGACTATGCATAAAATATATATATATATATATATGTAGATGTATTTTTGGGCCAGCCAAAAAACACAAGATGAAAAGTTAGCGGCGCAAAGTGAGATTTCAATTTGGCTGGCTCGCGTTTTATGGCGGGGAGGAGGAAACATTGCCGGACTCATAAAGCATTTCCGGCACTCATGAATCGGTTGGGGCCCTCGAGGCTTTTGTCCCCAGCTCCTAGAGCCAGCTCCTGACTGCCTCGATATTGTGATGTTTGGAGCTAAAGTTGTTTGCTTTCTTTTCGCCCGAAAGCCGAAAGCCTTAGAAAATGGAACGCCGTCTGGTGGCTTCCTGCTTCCTGCATCCATTACATCCACCTTCAAGAATACACTGAAGAAATTGGCCAAACAATGTTGCTGGCCAAAAAAATGAACATATATTTTATATTACCAAGGAGTAGAAGTCTAAGAGAAGTCAATATCAGTATAATAAAAATATTTGATACCACTTTTTCTCTGCAGCTTGAATTCTTTTGGGATTTTCGTTGATGGCCTTCCGCATAGAAATTGGTTTCCGTGTAAAAGAAAGCCCAGTCTCCAGCTGTGGAGCTCATTCGCTGCATACTTTCCGTTTGCCCGGTTTTGTCTCACTTTCCCAGCAGCGAGTACACATTACATTTCCCTCGCAATTGTTTGGCAGCGAATAAAAGAAAACCCGAGCCATACAACCCATATCCATGGCCAGAGCCCGAGTCCTAGCCAAAGCCGGGGTCCAAAGTGGGTATGTTTGCTGCGGGCCCGTGAGGAAGTGAGTGGGTTCCATGGATTCTATGGAATGCAACGACCATGACAGGGCACATGGCTCAGCATGGGTTAAGGCATTCGAGTCAAGGGGATGGCTGGCATACTTGTGTGTGCATTCCGCCAAAAACATTTGAATGCCAAGTATTCAAAGCAACCAAAACAGCGCTGACTGCAGGGATATATCAGCCATCTATCATTCAACGTTTCAAGCCCGACACAATCGAATGAATGGCAAACACTTAATTTAATGAATATTGAACCAGTTATACTATCAACGAGATTTAGTTGAATGACAAAGCGGAGACCCAAATGGAATTCTATACGAATGCATCCAGTCCACAATCTGCACATATCCTGTGTAAAGTGTCAACAGGCTAACAGGATATAGAATGTGAAAGAAAAACAACATAATGGGTCAGTTTTAAGAGGAGATTTTGTTACACTAATCGGGAAGGTTAATACGATGATCGTCGATTTTACTCATACTTTAAAGGGGCAAGGTTTTTAATATTTGTGATGAGATTTAATGTACGGCTCTGCCGATTTGTTTTAATATTTGGGAACTATTTCCGTGTATTCTTAAAGGTAGTGAAATATGAAAGATTTGCATTTCGTATTATGATTAAGTACCTTCAGTTTCATACTATCAACAGTCATAAACTTACACACCTTGCAATCATCTTTAGTAGACCTTTAGTTAGAGTATAGGCAAGGCAAATGTAAATCCGCGGATGGCCTCTGTTTCGATTGCAATCATCGGCAGGAACAGTGGCACAATAAATATAACAATTGAAACGGCAAATACCCTGAATACAGATTCCTATATATGCACGAAATGAAAATCTCTAATAAAAAAAGACATTTCCATTACTGCGATTAAATCGTCAGGACAAAGCACACTCACATAGATACATACACACAGATAGACAGATATAGATAGGGAATAGCAGGATATAGAGGTGGAAAGCAATTCTGCTGCGGTCTTTGCCGAGTTGTAAGGATGAGTCCTGTGATAGGATTTCAGTTGCCTGCCATTATTTCAATTGTTGTTGTTTATATTCATTGGATTCTTTACTTCTCTCTCTCTCTCTCTCCCACACTTTGTTACTGCCTTTATATATCTTTCTGTCTCTTTCATTCTGTGCAGCATTATTATGAGCGTTTTATGTGCATTGTACAATCGGCCTGAAGGTTGACCATAAAATATTTTCCACCGCCCATCCGATGATATCAATTTTTACGGCTGACAATATTAGCCCGACATAATTATCAATCTTTATGTGCCGAACTGAAATGGTCAGCAATAAAATGCCAAACGTAGATCGTCGATAACGAATGTCCTCGGCCGCAGAAAGGATGTCCTCCTGGCGCAGAAAATGTTGTAACACATGTGTGCACGTGCTGATAAAATTAGCAATTCGAAACCATTTGTGCGGGTGGTGTGGTTTTCGGGGGGGCGGAAGGAAACCTGATATTAGCAGCAGATATATTCATGTCGACTGTTGTCGGGCGTAAAGTCATAGCGCAGCCAACGGGGCGGATGAGTGTTGCCGCCGCCAACGGGGCGGTTGAGTGCCGCTGCACCCGGGCGGGCCTTTGGCTGTTTGCGGTCTATCCCACCTCATGGTTAGGACAGCTCCCCGTTTTTCCTTTCCTTTCTCCATTCCCCTTACCCCTTACCACTCCCACCGCCCACACAGCGCGTGTCGAAGCATCTCAGTCGGAAAATGGGTGACAATTCATGACAGGGCATGAGCAGTGCGCGTAATTTGCATATACGGTCGGTCGTTCGTTCGTTGGTTTCGTTTCGATTCGATGGTCGAATGCCTGGTTGCCCAGATGGCCCGCTCTTTACATTTTATTTTCATTTTTTTTTGCCCTTTCACCATGAGCCACAAAATTCCCTGGCGTATTGGGCAGGCAGTTTTTGGCATTGACTTGACTGCACTTAGCCCCATGGCATTACAAAATGTGCCTCCCATCCTGGCTGCATATTGTGATAAAATCCCCCTTTTCTATGCATTTTCCACACCGAAAACGACCGAAAAAAAGGGTTGCTAAAATGGAAAACTCTCTCTCACACATTTTAAATGCAAATGACACTCCATGGAGAGCAGATAGTAGAGAATGGAGCTGTCTTTGTGGCTTGCCAGGCCGGCAGATTAAAAGCGAAATTAGTTTTTCCTCTAATAAGCCAATCCAGCTTGGGCCAAAGCAGTTGGTGGCAGGATGAATTTCAATTTAGACGGAATGTTAGATTTGGTTTTTGTATTTGATAGATAAGACCACCGAATATCTCTTTTTGTATGCTAATAGCCCAAAGGTTGGGCTACTTAACAATCTAATTTGAATTTTGGTACTATTATCAAGATGGACTGACAATTTGGATATTTGTCTAAATTTGTACAGGGATTATTTCTTGCTTCGCTTGTTCTTCCTGCGCATGTGCTTCTTCCACTTCCTCCAGTATTTCTGGATCTTTCTGGCTGCGCGATTCATGGCGAATATGAGGACGCGATGCTGCCGATGTCTGGCCTCCTCCTCCTCCCGTTTCACCACGATCTGCTTATAGACCCTCTCAACCTTTCGGAATCCCACCATATATTCGTCGAGGGCCTTCTTGCACTGCTTGTGCTCGTCGGTGAGCTGCATGTTCTCGATCATCTTCTCTCCAATGGTGTGATCGTACTTTTTGATAATGGCCTGAAGTTGCAGGATCAGCTTGTTTCTGAGGGATTCGAGGTATTGGTTGAAAAGAAAATCTCTCTGGACTACGACTCACTTTTCCTCGCGGAACACCTTCTCCTGTTTCAAATAGGTGTTGGTCGCCGTCGTATAGTTCTTGCGAGTCTTTTCTAGCTTTTCTTCCAAGTCGACTTGCCGCTCTAGGCTGGATTTTTTAGTGGCCTTGACCAAGCGAGTGCAACGATCTCTGGGAGATGGGGAGTATTATATGGATGGACCTATCTTTTCCAATGACTGACACAATATTATGCCACTTACATTTCCTTCTGGATACGCTCATTCTTCTCACGCTTCTTCTTCATGAGGATGTTCTCGTAGTCCTGGAGGTAGGCCTCATTGGCATCTATCCGCGCCGCGGTGGCTAACTTTTGATCTTGGATCTTCTTGCGCAGCTCCTCCACCTGCACTTTCACCATCTCGTTCTGCTTGTACGCAGCATGCAGTTGGCGTTCCAGTGAGATGGCGTCAGTGGATGTCTTGTACAAGCGGTCCTTTGCCAGATCATAGAGCATCTGGAAGGCTATTAGCAGCTTCTTTTCATCAACACTCATGTGGTTGCAGTAGCTGGGGAAGAGGTGGTACATCTTGCTGTTCCGCTGGAAGAAGTCGATGATCTGGATAATGCCGTGGTCCATCAGCGGTGGACGCTTCTCCCGCAAAATGAACTCCCTGCGACGAACAAAGGACTCCACCAGGTGAACGGCTTTCTCGTACTTGGTGCCATTCAGAACCATTGCCAGGTGCTTGGGATGATTGAGCAGCTTCGGTAGGATCAGCGAGATCTTCACCCGTTCAATGGCCTCGGTCAGGACATTCAGAACACAGCCAATTTGAACCATTCGCACGTTGGCGAACTCTGAGTTCGGGAGAGTGTTGATTATACATTAAATATCGAGGATTTGTATTTATCTTTTTGTTCATATCCAGAACGGATAACGCGGATAACCCAAGGTAACATCACCTTTCAATCATTTCTAATTTTTTTATATAAGACACAATAATATTTAAAACATTCAGAGAAACTTTTCAAACTTTATAAATGATATTACAAACGAGCTTGGAAACTCTTTAAAACTTTCTTAAGCTAAGAATTATTTTCAAATGTCTCAGACTTAAAAAGTTGTTAGCCTCATGGCATACAAGGTTAACTTATCAATACTCTTTTGTTTAAATCTAGGCTAGGTTCCTGACTCTGATTTATGTTAAGGAACAGATTCCACATTTCCCCCAATTAAACCTCACAACAGACAGAACTTAAATGGAAAAATCAAGAAAACCACAAATTTTATGTTTTAAAGAGTAGACAGTAGTCTGTAAAGAATTTTTCTAAAATCTCACCATGCTGGGCCAGCAAGATGTCGTTCTTCTTATCCTCCGGCATAGCCTTGCCCCGCATCATCTCTGTCATACTCATCTTGGTGTAGTTGGTTCTTAACTAGTCTCTTGTGGGTAATTCATTTATTTTTTATTTATTTTTTTTCTAAAAATGGAGAGCTGCACCAGCAGCATTCACTGAGAGGTGCTTGTTTTTATTTGATTTAAACTTTTTAATATTTTTTTGTTTGTTATTCTTTGACAGCTGTGTCTATGTGTTTCGGTGTGGATTTGTTTCTGCTGTGAACCAAAAATCGGGGCTGAAGTTTGATAGAAGCTAGCTAGGTTACCCTGATCCCCTGAACGATGTCGCCAATTTATGTACACAAATTCCCATATTTACAAAAGCGGATCCCCGACACATCTATCTGCTGTTGAATTCGCTCCGCTGAGCTGCAAACTTGCTCAAGTGGAAGCTCTTGTTTGGACCCGAATCAAGTTGACATTACATGGCGTGTTTCAGTCGCGGACTGCGGACTGCGGACTGCGGACTGCGGACTACGGACCAAGTTTCTAAACAAATGCCCCGGAATTTGTGACTACAAATGCAGCGCTTCCTGCTCGATGTTGGATGCACTTTTTTGCAGCTCTTTGTGCTCTCCTCTGTTCCGCTGTGTTGCCAAAAATTTATGGCTAACAATATTTTTGCCTGGCAAAAGACGCACACAGCTCACAGCAAATGGCAAACAACTTGCAGCGAGTCACAGGCGAGGCACCTAAATAAACCAATTCGTGGGGAGGGCCTATGAGCTTTCCAGTGGCGGGTTTTAGGGGAGTATCCAGGGGCGTAGAACAGATCTGGGGCGTAATTTGTATGCACCATGCGTACAGCCTCCGACTCCGCCTCTGAATCAGAATCCGAATCGGGCAGTATGCGCCAGTGAACTCTTTCGGCTTTATCTTTTTTCCCGAGTTGTTTGTGTTTTGAATTCCCTGTTTGAGACTGGATAATCCAGAATTTTCAAATATCAAAAGGAAGAATATGAAAGTAAATATTGATAAATCTGGATCAATCTCTTTCGAGATGCACAATTTTGTCCGACTAATGTTTATGACTTCTCCTTGACTACTGGATATTTTTAAAGGGTATATTCGTTTCGTCGGTTGGGAAAACTTCTAGCAGCTTTCATTTTTTGTGTCGCATTTTCTATAGCCGTTGTGTTGGTGTGCGCTTATTGCATTTGTCTCGATTCGTTTGGCTCGCACAAAAACAAATTGCCGGAAGTATGCAAATGTATGATGCAGCTTATCAGATATTGTTTGAGAGCCTGCACTCGTAGTCTGCTGGGTGGATAAGGGGATAAGGGGTAGTCAGGGTGGGGCGGTGGCTCGTTTTTGGGGCGTGGCATTTGGGACGGTGCTCATTTGCCTTGCAAAAGGCGGGCCTCCAGTGAGCAACCAGCAAACAAGAGCCAAGCGACAGCAAATAACTTTCAGAGACTCTTGCACCCCCCGAAAACAGAAAACAAATAAAAAACCAGACAAGTATCGGGAATTGAACTGTCAGCTGCAGCTGCACGTCGGGGAAATCGAAATTGAATTACATTTGCACTTTATGCTAAAGATCCGTCAGATGACAGCGCCACCAATCGAGGCAGATAAAAACTAATTAAAATGTTTTGCAACAATTTAGAGGGAAGCCCACTTCCGGGATGTCTTTTAATTAAATGGTGAATGGTGATCAGAAATACAGAATTTGGAATGAAAGTTAATGATTCTATTGATTATCTTGATTATCATTCTGAAAGATTCAAACTTGTCTTATATTGAACATGCCACATTTTCATATTACGATGTAAGTTCCATGTTTCGGCAGTTATGAGGTTTTCTGTTCAGGTTTCACTTGTTTGTTCTTTCCTGCTGATCTCTGGTCTTTTTCGGTTCAAATTAATACATTGGCGAGTGGCACTCGATGTCATTTATCAACTCCCAACTTTCTGACATTTATGCTCTGTGACAACCAGGTCCAGGACGACAATCACTGGACTCCAGCATTGGGCCCGGCAAAGTTTCTTTCGACAGATGACACATTTTCCTTCGGCTCTCCTACATGACTACTTGATATTTCCATATTTCTTTAGACACACTGGACTGGCCTCACACCCACCCTCCTTCTCCTTCTCCTTCGAAAAAAAGAACAAGAAACAACCCCCTATTGATAAATGATGCTGATGGATTTTTATTGCCCCGGTCTTCTTGGATGGACAAGGGAAGAAAGCTGGACCAGGGGTTTTCAAGGGGGAGGGCTTTTGGGCCACATGTATGCACGAGTATGACACGCTGTTGGCCGGCTGCTTATCAACGGTTTAGCGCGGCTTGTGTGTCTGACAGGTGAATAAAAGCAGCTGTCAACACTTTTTTATCCCTGTCTTTGCAAGGTGTGTGTTGGTCTGTGGGTGTGTGGGCGAACATTGGGGTCCATTAATATTGATATAGAATATATTGATTTTGGGTCTTGTTTTTTTGCTGCCAAGGCGCATGTGAGCCGAAAGATTAATGCTTCTGCTAGGATGCCAAGCAACTATTTGAATAAGCTTTCCGGGGGAAATCTGGAAGGCCTGAGTCCTTGGAACCGACAATTAGCTTTCGGCCATTTATGGCCAAGTAGAGCACTTGGCAATGATTTGGCTGGCTGGTAAGCATATTAAATATAAATTGCCTGGCCATCCATCAAAATGCTCAAAGGAAAAGTCAGACGTTGCGGGGGAATCGGGGCGGGGTAGTCAGATGGCAAATTGAGAAACAACTTCAATGCCAATTGGCCAAATCCGAAAGCATTTTATGGCCACAAAATCAATTCAATGGCTCAACAAGATGCTCAGTTTATGTCGGCAGGGAGAAGGTGGGCGTGGCTGCTGCACTTCTCGCCTTCTGTCGGTTGAAAATTTTATGTTTAATTTATTGATACACTCAGCTTGCAATAAAAATTGATGGCAAAAACACATTTACACACACTCCGGATGGGGTGAGAGAGGGGGGCGTTGGCCATAATTTTTCATTTCATTGTTTTGTTTCGCAACAGTCGTGGGAAAATACGCCGCGGATAAACCCGAAACAAAAAGCTGGCAAAGTAGCAAGCAGCAGGCAACGAAAAAACACAAGGAGAGCAAAAGAAAATCGAGGGAAAATTCTTTTCTATGCGAGAGGAAAATTCATGAAAATGCCCGACGGAACTGGAAGCGAATTTTTGTGATATTTATTTGCTGGGCCAGGGAAAAAAGTGGAAAAAGTGGCAAAGAAACCAAGTTGCGAGAACTGCAATAAAACCAAGCAGACAAAACAGACGGAAATGAAAGCAGAGAAATAATGTCCCCGGCTCCAGTTTCAGTTTCAGCTTCAGTTCGGTTCGGCTTCAGTTTCAGTTTCCAAGAAAAGCTGAAAGGAAAGTGAAAAGTTGCCCGAAAAGAGCGAGCAACTAAGCCGAAACGAAAATGAAACCAAAACCAGAACTGAAGGCGCAGCACTGTTGATTTTATTTTTATTGCCATAATTTATATATGCACAGATCCAACGCTGCGTATACGCAACGCAATTCTTGGCAGCTGCACATTATGCCAAGGCCTTGATAGTACTTATGTTGTGGCCATGGATTTATTTCACTTTAAGGCAAATCGAGGCAAAGCGAGAGCGGACAGCTGCAAATCATTTTTAAATGCTTACAAATTTCCAACACAATTTACAACTTAAATAAATTTACTGCCGGCGACTGTGGGAAGTACAGAAAAAGTTATGAAAAATGTGGAGAAGCAGAAAGCAAAGCACAGCAAATGGAAAATAAATCAATCTTACACTCAAAGTTGGCCAGTGGATGGGCGGGTGGATGATGAACAGCCACATCTCTCCATCCAGAGACCGGAAAATTCAATAAAGTTTAAGAATGTTGAAAATATTATAGCATACCTGCAGGCAACTGCAGATGCAGCTGTGTATGTTTTTGTGCAGAAGAAATTCTAATATTTGTATAGTTGGCAAACTTGTACATGGAATTCCCGCAGAACGTTAATGGCTTCACTAGCCAACCTCCCTACCCAATCCCAGTTCTTCCGCACCTCCTTCAGTCGTTTTTCCAACTTTTTTTCCACTTTCCACTGCCTGCACCGTTGCCTGATCATTTACAATTCAACATTTTGCAGCACCAGTGAATTATGCTTTTTCATGTTGGCCTTTCCCCCAGTTTCCCGCTGCTGCTCGTTTTCCAACCGTTTCCGGGCATTCGCGGTCTATGGCCCATTTGTGTGTTTTGAGGCTTTGGGCGACGGCAATAAGTACGCTAATAGCTTCTTATGACAGCAATGAGGCGAAATCATGCGAAAATTCAATTGCACGACTTTTCCGGCTACGGAAAGCGGCGAGAAAGTGGGTTAGGTAAAGAAAAAAAAGCATATCCAATTTGTAAGCTTAGCCTGTCTTTATCAATTGATTTTTACTCTTGAAGTTTATGCATTTTTGTGGGTTTTAATCCTTGTAACCTTTAGAGAATCTATACTAAATCATTGAAAAATAGCAATTATTTTGAATAATCTTCGGGTAACTTACTTTGGGAAAATGCCGAATATAATATCTACTATAAATTGAGTTTAAACTGGTAAAACCGATGAAGATTGCAAAACAAAGAGGCCACTAAATCAAAAATGGTTTATTTATGAATAAAAAGGCAATCTGTGGTCGTTTTAGCGATTGCTTTTTGCACAGAAATAACCAAAAGTTCTGTCGATAAATGAAAATGAAAATAAATGCAATAAATTTTAAACGCAACCAATAAGGCCAATCAGCTGGTCTTACTAATTGATTCCAAACTCTCTAACTGAAGCTGAATAAAATTGACTCGGTTAGAAAATAAAATACTCCTTTTGCCGTAAAAACCAATCAGCAGAGAATTCAATTTCTATGAAAAAAATCATCACCAGCATAAATCGTGTATATTTTTTTGGCCAGACTCTCGATTGTCTTTCATTAAAATATGTTGCATGGTAAATCGGTGAATGTCAAACGCAAGAGCCATGTCACATAGACTGACGCTCCAACTTAATAGGAGTCCATAGCTTTTCCACTAAGGTAAAACCCAGCTAAGTGAGTTGAATTGTTTTGACATTGAGTGGGCAAAAAAGAACCGACAATTGAAACAAATTAAAGGTTGATGGGGTGCGAGTGGACTGAATCCACTGTTGTCGGCGTGTTAACAAAACCACTTTATGCAGTTCATTGAAATTACCCCCTTTATTCCATTTTTTCTCCCAACCTCAACCATCTTTTTACACTTTTTACTGCTCCTCCAGAGCAATTAACACGTACACACACAGCCACACCCGACCAGGATCATAATTGTTGTCGCTGGCAACTGGAGAGCCAGAAAACAACGGCAATGGCAACAGCGCCAGCGATTGTAAATTCGAAAATTGGACGAGGTGGCTGGAAGGTGAAGAACGCAACTGGGGAACATCTGTTTCAGCCAGGCACTCATTCATTTTTAATGCATGCAACTGCAATTGAGCTGCCTCCGGCTGAAAAGCAAATGTCAAACAGCTCTCCGCCGCACACAGGCCACTCCTTCGCCTTGTTGGGTCACTGAGAGGAAATGTTACAAGCTTTGTTATCAATTTACTTACTGCATAACATAAGATTTTAACTACTTTTCTTTAGTCAATAATAACTGAAGTTAATAATTATATAAATGTAAATAAATAGATTTGATGTGATAGAATAAGGATGACTTTCTTACTTGGTTACTTTTAAAGTACTTGTGATGTATACTTTTATAACCTAACTAACGTTTATTGGCAATAGCAAGTCTAAAACAGATTGTAATATGAAAGGTAGTTTGGAATTTACTTTATATGCTTTCTTTCAGTGCACCTGTCACTGTTTTTGAGGACACGCCTTTGACATTGCGCAAGGAGCCATGGAAATTGTCAAGGATATTGGGCCATCGAAACACTAATTGATTATGCCTCGATTCGTTTGAATGTCGCGAGATGACGCAAGGTTCTGGGGCTAAACATAATGGGCACTTACCGATTGTGAGACAGAGGATGCTACCGAGGAGGAGCTGGGCTAGCTGGGCGCCCTGTAGGGGCCGCGTTCTCGTTTCGAGAGTTTGCATTTCGGATCGACTGCGACTTTTCCAGGAGCGCATCCCCTCCCGCGAGGGAGCGAGAGCGTTAGTGTTCAGTTGCGCGGAAATAGTGCAGAGCTCGGCACTTTCACTGGCACTTTCCAGTGGAGGATCTGCGGGGAACTGTGGTCGCGGGAGCTACTGCTCCAGCAGCGATTTGCAAACGCATTTAACACCTCCTGGAAAACTGCGGAACTGCTGAACTGCCAACGCGGCGTATACGCAACGTGTGCCAACGTTCGAGATTTTCCTTGGGAAAAAAAGCTACCCCGCGACTTTATGCAAACGTTCACAATTTTACTTTCGAGTGACTCCGCTGACAGTTTGTCAAATAATAGTTTTTCGTCTTTTATTGTTCGGCACGGTATCAACTGTGTGTTTTATGGCCAACTTTATTGCCCGAGAATCGCGTTGCTGTCCATAATTTGTTTAATATTTCTTTCCGACTCGGTTCTTTACGGCTTTAGTGCTTCGGTGCTTCAACAGTGATTTGCTCTCTTTGGACCATCAATAACCATTGGCTCTGGGCCATGTTCACTGTTTTGCCGATCCTGGGAGCACAGCAACATCTGTCTCCGGGTCTAAGTATCCCAGTGGCCCTTTGATTCTGATTGGATTTTGGTCGTTTTCCGTTTCCGTTTGTTTAGCGCATTTATCTGAAATGAAACAAAAGGCAATCGGGGTTTTTAATGTTCCGTTAATAGAGAATCGATTTATTTTAGACTGCTAAATGCCAAGTGATTTACTGTAGGTCCTTTGTGCAGGATGTGTGTGGCGTGTGTGTGTGTGTTTGCAGGGCCCTGCAGGGGCCACAGGGCTAACAAACACAAACACTCACACACGGATATGTGTGCATGTGGCTAGTATTGTTATTGTAGATAATTGCTTTTGGCCAGCTCGGTTCGGAATTCGTGTTTAGTTTAGCGCTCAATTAATTATCTCAAGTTTCGCCATTTGCCGGCTTATTTTGCCTGGAATTGGCCTCCGGCCACATGGCTCCGCAATTTGTATTCAATGCGCCAAATTACTCCTCTCGAGCATCTCAAACAGTTGTCAATTAATTTAGCCCCTCCCTGCCGGAACACAACTCCTCATCTACTGGGAAATTTCATTTAAATTAGCTGGACTTTCGCACAAAGATAAATATTAGCATTTGGATTGGAGGCATGAAAATCATTCTATCATTTTACAGGCACAATTATAGCTGTTATTGTAAATAATATATTTTGATTTAAAATTATGCAAACACAATTAAGAATGGAGTTTAATTAAAAGCAAATTCCTTTTTATGCCACGGCGAGGATATAATATTAAAGCCGTTTTCGGCACTTTGTCCAAAACTGAAAACTGACAGTTTATGACCCTTACGTCAAACGGACTGTATTTAGTTATCAAAGAAAGTATCAAAGAAAGTAATTTCAGGCATTGGGGAGAATATAAAGAAACTTAATATAGTTTTTTGCAAAGTATACTTTTCCTAATAACGGCCTCATTACTTCAACATATACGGTTTCCACAACTTTTCTAAGGCTTACTTGATGACAAACAGAACTCATTTAAGTCCACTCAATTTCATTCGTTCTCTGCAACTTCCGTTCGCTTTAAGAACTCTACGCTGCTAGAAACTATCGCCTATACCTCTCTTGGATTTACTTGGGTAATTTTTCATAGAATTTTTCGTGTCGGCAGCAGCTGGTGCCGCCAAAGTGGCACACGACTGACGCTCTTTGGGGCGCTCGCAAAAAACAGAAAAAGACAAACACAAATTTATCTTCATAATTTTCCACACGTTACTGGCAACTCATCTGCATAAGCACGCACACTCACTCGCACTCCTCACATACACATACACACACACACACACACACACTGATACACATGCACATGTGATGCATGCAACGCTGCAAAATGTCACCGAAAGTGAAAGGCGGAGGCAGTAATGCTGAAAGTACACTCCAGTCCCCCCTCGCTCTGCCAAAACCCTTCGCCAAATGTAGGCCACTGGCACCAGAATGTTGACTTTAACGTTGCCGGCGCAAGTGAAATTTATGCAAGTGACGGCTACTCAGGGGAGAGAAGGGTAACAAAGGGGGGAGTGACAGAAAATAGGGGCTTTTCATCTCGGCAGCCGACTTTAAAGGCTTTCCAAAGGTCGAGTGGTGCGTTCGTAATATTTTTTCGGTTAAACCCTCTGGCTGCAAGATTTATGCGGGTGGTCGTTGCTGCGGGCCCCGTAATTAAAAAGTTTGTCTAAACAATTCTCTAATTAAATATTATTCGTCTGAATCGAGAATTGTTGTTGAAACTCTTTTGGCTCTTTTCCAGCCGGCGTGTGAATATTAATGACTTGACATTTCGGTTAAACTTTGCGAGTGGGTAAACTTGCCCACAAATGTTGCTCAATTTCGGTCGAGGGTTTTCCGTTTCCCCTTGAGCTGGCTGTGTTGACTAAACGAAATGCTATTAAAACACCTCCCCTTGCGTGGAGTCAACCCTTTAATGGCTTAATGACGAAACCACGAAGTACATAGTTGAGCGGCCAAATTGAGCAGCACTCACTTATTCCAAACGAATGGAGTCCAATACTCCACATCTGCCCTGCAAGTCAGCGAAAGTGACGAGGGTGTGGTGTAGTAATTGAAATTAAATGGCATTTGAAACTTTATTTAGCTGGCAGTTTGTCAACTCATTAGCCCATTGATCGACTCAAGTTTTCAATTATTGTAATTGCTGCAATCCAATTTAAGTTCGGGCGGTATTCAAAGTCGCTTCAGCGGCTAACTAGCTATGGAAACTAAATTTGCTATCCAGCCAGTAAGCCAGCATACTACATACTACATCATTCTTTTCGCTGCGCCATCCATTTCGGAGTCCCGGGGGAAATTTATCTAAATGTTGTTTCAAAACTTCAACTTGCTCGCTCTCTCTCTCTCTCTGCCCTTGTCCCTGTCTCCGGTTCTGTCCCTTTCTTGCTGGCACTTTTTTCGCACTCTCTCAGAATCAGTTTTGCCATAGCAGCTCTGGTTTTGGCCCTTTACCCAACGAACTTGTCACAACTAAAGACATTACACAACAGATTACGTATACGCCGGGTGGGTGCTGAAACAAGAGGTGATTGGGCAAAGTTCGCATTAAAGTGTGCCTCCTCCTAGTTGCGAGCAGATTTACAGCAGCAAATTTTTATGTTATTGCCTAGCGTGTGTTTGGGATGGTGGGTGGAGAATTTTGGCGTGCTGAAACTTTCCACCCCCGGCTGCTGAATTAATGTCTGTGGCCCCCAGCAGGCGGCATCCCCTTTCATTTGCCGAGATGTTTATCCTTACATCTATAAAAACACATTCTGCGCACAGCCATACACACATGTACGCCACTGTCCAGGCCCCCGGCCCCACTGATGTAGTCTAGTCAAAATAGTTTCTATATGTGTGTTTTCCCGGCTGTCTGTCGTCCTGTCATCGAGTCTGAGTAGAGCTCCACTTCGCCGCTCTGCTGTTGCTTTTAAAAGCTTAAGCTGGGCAAACACTTTCCCACATTCTTAATGAGTGCTTGCCTGGTTGCTTTACGCTCCACTTCGGGAACTCGAAATTTCGTTGGCCATTGTCAGACGAAAAACAAGGCTGGAATTCAGCCAGGAGCCCAAGATGTTGCCCTTAAGTGTAGGCTCTATTTATTGTGTGACTTGTAACCGGTGCAGAAGATTTTCACTTCGCAGGGAAAACAAAGTAGGCATTGAAAGCAAACTGTACAATGATGCACTTTATTCATTGTAAAAGAACTCCAAGTTCTTTATTAAATGTTAAAGTTTTTAACAACTTTTATTAGAAATTTGTCTACTAAACTTAAGAGATTCTATCAATCCGACTTAATTTCTTTGCATCTTGACTTCGGTGGATAACCTAACTTTTTTAAGGCCATAACTTTAGTTTCAAGGTTTGTTCATAAAACTTCATTAGTAATAAATCTTCGATGGCTATCTTTGCTTTTCCGCTGCCATAACTTAAGTATTGATTAAAGGCAGAGTAGAAGTCCAGCTAACCGCAGAACCTGGTAAGCTGGGGAAAAGCTAAGAAAGGACTTTTTATGTGTTTTTTACACACACCCACTAGCAGCATTTTCGACCACTGGAAGTCATTTCTGCTTTGTTTTGCAGCCAAAATAATATCTGAAGGGTCACTCAAGCACATACAACCGACACGGGTAGAAACGGAAACTATTACGACGGGCAGCGAAAAGTCTATAAAAGCAAATGCTGCCTTCTACAGCGCCTTGAGATCCCCATGCCACCCAGAGGCCACCCAAATGGAGGAAAGGCTATATAGACCGGGGCACGGAAGGCGGAAAATAAAGTCGACTATAAAAATCACAGGTTTATATACATTTTTTGAGGGCGGCCAGTTGCTGGTGTCGTTATTTTTGTTGCTGCAGTGTTTGCTCTACATCGCAGTTCAAAGTTGTTTTTCGAAGCACTTTTCCCCGCTTTAAACAGCGATTGACCGGCTGCCTTTTCCGAAAAACTTCCGATTTGGAGAGGAGTGAAACAGCCAGGGAGGTCCCAACGATTACGTCAGCCGAGAGTTTGGCATCTTGTCACTGGAAAGTTAATCAGGAAAAGTGGCAAAGCCAGTTTCTGGCTTAATCTTCAATTGAAACTTTGGACGTTCCCCGAAATGTGCTTAACGATCAGCGGGAGTAAGCAAAATTATAAATATGGAAAAGCGAAAAGTTCAAGAATTTCCCCAACAATTTCTTTCACCCTAAACCAAAGGTCTTGGCTCGTGGGATCTAAGATGGCTATCCATAAATCAGTTCTCACACACACACACACGACTGCCATAAACTTTGATCTGTTAATAAATTGCACGTACTTAATCATCCCAGGTAGGAAGAAGGAAGAAACTTTCGGGATATGAACTCGTACATAAGTTGGAAAAATATCCGCCTCATTTATTCATATGCCAATCTGGGAGAAACTTAAGCAAACAGTCGGAGCCAAGAGTTATTACAGCCGACTTGGTAAAAATTAAATTTATTGCCCATACGCCGCGTGGGCCGACTGGCCTTTGAGTGTCCCCAGAGTTTTAAAGTCGATCCCGGCCTGTTTTGTGCCCACTCATGGACACCGAGGCCCAAACGCAATTAACACACACTGGCACAAGCCACTTAGCGAAGTGTGGGCAAAAGCTAATCGCTTCAGCGGCCAAAACTCGATGCCCGCCCGTGGCACCCAGTTTGCATTCCGGCCCAAATTGGGTAAACTAATCAATGCAAGTGCATTTGCACTTGGCGGCTGCATTAAATTTAATGCCAGTTTTTAGCTGGCAAAATGTACGCCCGCCTGCACATTACTTTGCTCATTTGTGTGCTCAACCTGTACGGTATAGGAATAGGTGATGCGGTGTGGCAAGTATCCGAGCCATGTTTGCCCAGATGCAACTAAGCTCTGTTTGCCTGTTTACCCTGGCAGGGCAAATAGAGATCAAGTCAACTGCGGCAACAACAATGGCAGTGGCATTTGCAATGGCTCGTTAAGCCAATAGCAACGACATTGTGTGCCGACGCAGCAAATTTTCGCATTAATAAATCTTTTGTTTGCTAATAAATTTCTAAACAGCAAACGTCTCTCTTTCGCTAGCAGTTCAGTTCGAAGCTTGTTTAT